GTTAAGATGGGTGTGAAGCGGAAGAAGAGAATCTGTGGATTCCGGTGATGTGTTCTCCATTCAAGGTCAAGGCCAGGGTCATGCTGAAAATTGACCTCAAACTTTGCACATTTTCGTATACATCTTGTATGATTAATTTCCCAGGATGTTTTGAAAAGTTTTGGAGTTTATCAGTCCCCTATTTGTGGTTCATCTTACGATAAAAGGATTCTCCAAGTTCAAGGTCACGGAAGAGTGTTTTTACGAGAGGCTATTTCGCTGATTCGATTCAGCCATAATAATTAAGACAAAATTGCCATCCTGAGGCTCTAAAGGAATGCTTAGGGCAAAGTGAATGCCAGATTCGTGATCAGTGGCTACATATCCATCATATAGGTATGACCTTCCAATGTGTCAAAGTCAACGAAATGCCATGAGGTGGTAACATAAGGTCAACATAAAACTGGATCTTTTTCAAACAAAATCTATGCCATTCGACGCAGCCTGGCCAGACGAATGCGTTGGTACAACTACCGTAGCTCTAAGACCGTTTTTGTTGATTTTTTTACGAAAAGCTAAAACCCTGCAGCTCGGGGTCGTTGAAGTGACCTCTGGCCGTATTCACAATCACGGGTTAAGGGTAGGGGTAGACCGTAGGAGTAACGGGTAACGTGATAACATGACGTGACGGGACCCGTGATTGTGAATACCTACGGCCAATGACCTCAGGTCACCAATACTATTTTTTGTATTTCTCCGTAGGTCAAACGCTACACAACCGTGCTCGTACTTATTGATTGACAGCTGAGACAAAAAAAAAACGGGCAGGACCTACTAACCTCTTTCTTCTCGTAACGTGCACTCGCTTGTTTTTTTTCGCTATAGGTAGGGGAAGTTGGGGCAATGCCGGAGTTGGGGCAAAGCCGAAATTCGAGATATTTCGAAAACCGTAAGACATGGATGCCACCTGTCAGTGATGCTCTGAAGCTTAAGTGACTACAATTATTGCATGTTTGTTACGAGTCGTCATTCGGAATACTTCGGCTGTGAGGGCGCCAAGAGCGTTTTCAAGGTACGCGTTTCTTGTACTACATGCGCCTTTGAAGCTGCATTTCTTACTCATTATGCTACCGTTTGTCTGGCCAATTCGGTCAAGTAATCTTCAGCATGTCTTTGCATAAGTGTGCTGCCTATTTGAAATTTATACGGCACGTTGAAAAGTTATGGGCCTGCAAATGAAAGTATGGCTGGCTGGGGTAATGCCGAAAACGTGCAATTACGCACGTTAAAGCACGCTACGTGACTTTACTGACTTAAAGACTTAGAGACTTTACTGCTGTAGAATATAGCAACGCGAATTTTTAGTCACACAAATTACACTTTCAACCGACACAACGGCCTGTTACCTATAAGGAATTCTTTACCTGGCATTTTCTTTTTATATCACACAATTATAACCTCCAGCGTGCACCAAGCGTCCTCAAGCTCTTAAAACGCGTGTCAGCTTTGATAAATTCTGGATAAAGTTTGAGATAAAGTGGCAAAACATCAATGTCCGCATTCCCCGTAGATCATTTCTCCCATTTTCGGCTTTCCCCGCAGTCCGGGGCAACGCCGAAAAAGTCACTTCTTTGATATTTTTAGTTTGTGCGCTTAACGGTACGCGAATTCATCAAATGCGCCTGGTATGTTTGAAAGGCAAAAGACTGGCCTCTCGAATGACGCCAACAAGAATAGCTTATGTTGTCTACCTTGCGTGCTACGGGCGTCAGAAAAAAAGTATTCGGCGTTCCCCCAACTTCCCCTACGGTTTTTCGCTCGTATGCTCTATGCTCAATGGGCGAAACGGCGTCCGTTACGGTGAGAGGGGTTGCCACTCGCCCCACTATATCCCCAGTTAGCATTTCGCCTGAGGATCGGTTGATGGATACATATTGGGGAGGAATTGGGATTTTCGGTGCATTTCCTTACCTGGTTGGGAATGCTGAAAAAAATCCCGCGCCAATATATCAGCCGTTTTCACGACGGGCTATCCGACGAATGCACCTGATTTGACCAAATATGCACCTAATTTCTTTTACAGCAAATATCTTCATTTTATGAATTTATTTCAGTATTTTAATCGATGATGCTCTCTGATAATATGACAAAGCAGGCATATAAGCAATTAGTGCAACCCTAGCTGATAGCTGCTAAGAGACACACTGAACCTGATTTGACCAAATCTGCACCTAATCTGTACCAGATGTGCACCAAATGTGTACCCACCTACCAGATGGCCGTCGTGAAAACGGCTATTACCTTCCCGCTGTTTCAGTGAAGGCTGATCGAATTTTTTGTTTTTATGGACTTCCTCTTGCCTGTGAACTTCAGGGGAAAGTCGAGAAGTTCGATTTTCCCCTTTGATGGATCGTTCTTTACAGCACACTGTGTTGTGATGTCAACTGTACATCATGGGTGTGAGGGAGGGGTGTGGGGCAATGAGTGCACTGACGTGGCGCCCTCGGAAGGCCGGTATGGGATTAAACTTTAACCCGCGCCGGGCCGGTGCTCTGAGATTCCGCGCCGGGCCGGAGGGTGTCTGAACACCCCCCCCCCCGTCTAACTCGGCTCCTGGGCCACGTAGCGACACGCGGTAAGCGGCAATCGCAAGAACGTCCAAAATAAGGACTAAAACACTCGGTCATTTTTGGGTCAGGTCAAAGGTCAGGTCACCAGAGGTCACCAAAGGTAAAATGTTGACTATTTCAACATTTTGGAAACTGCCAACGGCTATCTCGGGAACCGATAGAGCTACAGCGCCGCGGAAAGCGCATTCGATAGCCCTTTTACATATCTTTCTGAGTAATGTTCGCAGATTTGACCTCAGGTCAACGGTTTAGCCTCCAGAAGGCAAAAACTAAAAAATAGCCGTTTCAAAAAGCGGTTTTTTGGCAATAACTTTTGACTCAAAAGAGCCATGACATTACTGTTACCAGCATCGTGTTCCTCTCGTCGAGACGCGTCGAATGAATTATAATTTGACCTTGAAAGGTCAACTTGAAAGTTTTACCTCAGGTCAAGGTCATGATCTGACCGGAAAAGGTCATGTTGCATATCAGTCGATCCGCAACGTCGAGCCGAACACATCTAAGGCGTTTTCAGCGCTCTAGCACGCCTCTATCAGAAGGTATTAGCGAAAAACTGATAGATTCTGTTCGTGACCTGAGATGACCCCGGGGACATAACAAGGGGTCACAGTTGCCATTTTCCGGTTCAGTGTGTCAATTGTACCTACATCTCGATGTTTGAGAGTGTCTAGAATAGCGTTCGTGCAAAACAGATGCTTTTCAATTTTCTCCCATTGACTTATAGGTAATGGAGAGGCCGCAAAATTGACCTGACCTTAAGTCACCGATAACAAAATTCCGAGATAATTTTTTTTTTATAAATAATGTTGCTCTTATCAATCGCTGAAAGTTTCAAGGCAATCGATCAATCGGTGTAGCTATGACGAGCATTCCTATTTTTTTCTGAGGTGAGATCACTTGGCGACCTGACCTTAGGCGACCTGGATCTGAAATTTTCACAACATGTGCGGAAAAGATGCACGAACAGGTGTGCCAAAAACGGCGGCGCGGAGGAAAAACCGCAGGGGGTGTTCAAACACCCCCCCCCCCCGGCCCGGCGCGGGTTAAAGCTCAGCGACACATACGAGCACTCTCCCCTACCTATTAAGAGGACTCGCTTTAGGGCCTTGAGCGGGTGGCCGGGCGGATGGGAAGACAGATGGACGGACGAACATCGGGAGAGACGGACGGACGGACGGATGGAGAAACGGACGGATGGAGAAACGGACGGACGGAGAGATGGATGGACGGACGAAGAGACTGACGGATGGACGGACGGACGGAGAGAGTGACGGATGGACGGACGGATGGAGAAACGGACGGACGGATGGACGGACTGAGAGACGGAAGAGCGGACAGAAGGACGGACGGGTGGAGAGACGAACGGACGGATGGACGGACTGAGAGACGGAAGGGCGGGCGGACGTACGGAGAGACGGACAAAGAGATGAACAGACGGACGGATACAGAGAGAGAGCGAGAGAGAGAGAGAGAGAGAGAGAGAGAGAGAGAGAGAGAGAGAGGAGAGAGAGAGAGAGAGAGAGAGAGAGAGAGAGAGAGAGAGAGAGAGAGAGAGAGAGAGAGAGAGAGAGAGAGGGAGAGAGAGAGAGAGAGAGAGAGAGAGAGAGAGAGAGAGAAAGGGTGGTGAGAGAAATTGGAGGATAAGATGAAGGAAAAGACTTAGAATGGATATTACTTGTCAGAGACTCGAGGAGGACGGGAAGGAGACTGATACCTACAAAGAGGAAAGATAAGTGGGCAAGGGGTTTGAGAGATAGGTAAGGAGACAGGGGAAAAATGAGATTTTATTGCTCCGGTCATAATAACACTTCCCGAAATAAAATATAATTGGCCGTAATTATCGAATAAGAATCGGAAATTGTCAATTGAACGTCTGATTTGCTTACATCAATCCGCCCTATAGTTACCCTGTTTGACATGTTTGCACCAAAGCCAACCCTTAGACCCCTAGCTACGCCATTGTTTCATATGCATCATGTCATGTATTTTATGCTCGCCCCCCCCCCCCCCAACTTGAAAATTGTTCCCGGGCCCCTGTGTCCAGGGCGTCAAGGGAGAGAGTGAGAAAGTTGCCAGTTTTGTCATCAGAAATTCACCAGGTGGTTATTTTTGGTCTGAATTCGCTCCAGAATTTCAACAGTCACGCGAAACCATGCATCATTGGCGTGGGCTCTTAAAGGCAATGAATGCTCTTCTTATTTAATATGCACTGTGGTTCTCTTCTCAAGACTGTATGATAGTGCGCTAAGACCGTATACACTACACTACATCTCTGATGTAGTGTGGTTCTCTACCAAATCTCTATCCTGCTCCTTATTTGTGATTTAGGACGGGAAAAAATACTCTACCTTCATTATCCCTGTCGCAGCTGCGCATTGTTTGTAAAGTTCCACAACCACGCGAGAGTTTTGATTCTTCATACTTTAGGAGGTAGTGTTTTATTTGATTTTTTTGTTTTTATATGCAACTTGTATATAGGTACTCTGCTTGATATTTTTGCATATTTTAAGAGGGAGAACTGGGGAAGAAAAGGAGTACTTGATTGCCATCGCAGGTAATTCAGATTCGAACTGATTGTTTTGAAATTGATACCTAAGTTGAAGTTATCCGTTTGATTTCTGATTCATTATACCAAAAGGATAGAAAATAAATATTGAAATACCTACATGGTCGGATATCAGCCTGGTAGTTAGTAACAAGGCTATATGTTTAATGTTATAGTATGTTTTATTCTAAAGGATTCCCCAAGTTCATTATCGAAGCTCTCACGTGAGTTTTGTCAAATTCAGCGTCTCAGTCTGGCTAAGAATTTCTTACTGTGAAAATGATCAATTTCAAATTGTGCTTGGTAAATACATGGGAGTTGTGTCTAAACCCGCGCCCCGTAGGGCTACCGGCGGACCCTACCACCCGTAGGGGGGGGGGGGCGAAACGGCCCCCCTAAGATCTCAGAAATTTACCGGCCGATTTTCAAAATTCAAATGGCGTTTGATAGCCCCACCCAGGAACTACCTTGTGGCCAAATTTCATTGACCTAGGTCAAACCGATGACATCACAGGTCAGGTCAAAGGTCGGATTTTCACCATTCACAGGCATTTCAAGAAATGTGTTGTGAAATCGAGTAAATTGGTAAGTTATTGAAAACCATTGATGGTAATTGTTCGTCAAACACATACTTCGCTATCTCAGGTCACTGATACCAGGTCAGGTCAGTCACAGAGGTCAGGTCACTTGGGGGTCACAATATGAAAGTGTCGTGTGATACATGTTTTATGGTCCATTTTACATGACAAATGCGATTATGTGGGTCAGGCAGCCTTTGGGGCCAGCTTAGGTCACGTTTTGGTGAAGGTCAGGTCGAGGTCAGGTCATATAAGGTCAAATTTCAAAGTTGATATTTTTGCACACAAAAAAATCGGTATCGATTCGATGCATCTCGTCACGGGGAGTCCAATGGTGGTCTTTGTTTTGCCCTACGATGTCTAGAATTGCCAAAAATTGAGTTTGAAAATTTGACGTCATCATTTTTTAACAGTTTTTTTTTTCGCTATAACTTGGCCAAAAACGAGATATCGATCTGAAATTTGGTATTTAGATAGAAGACGGTAGGTATTATCACATATATTCCGTTTTTCCAAACTAAAAAAAAACTTTTTGGATTTTTTGGCTAATATATCCAAAAAATCGCCTTTTTTTATCAAAACTCAAAAATTTCAAAAATCCGAAATAGCAGTTTTGTAGCCCTGTCAATTCTACACCTTTAATGTCTTGATCATTTTTCTGTATCTTCAAAGCTGTAGGCCTGACAGCTCTTCTCGCGAAGGTCTTTTTCGGTCGAAAATGGCAGAACATGACGTTATTCTGACGTCATTTGTGGCCAGCCTATCATAGCCCCTGGAAAATTGTTTTGGTCACAATGTGTAAAATTGATGCCCGGAGGGGTCCTGAAAGTTAAGTGGCGATATCTCCAGCCGGGAGATATCGACGGAAAAGGACAGGGGGTTGGCGATGCCTCCCCTACGGGGCGCGGGTTAAAAAATGAGCATACTATGATGACGTCACTGGTGGCAGCTGGCAGTTGGCACCCAATGTCCATACGAATTACGAAAGCATTAATTGCTAACAAATTTTGGGAAAACTTCGTTTTTCACTCTTACCGAAGCCCGATCCGAGTAAGCGGCTGCGGTTCTGTCGATAGTTATTCAGTACATTGCAATGCAAGTGAAGTTCCGCAGCATATGACATCACCACCGTTCTCATATCATGTTTCAAAACGCAAAGTCTGAGTCAGTAGGCGGAACTATGGTCAAGCGTGCCCATTTTTGGGAACGCATTTTCGTTTCCATGTTTGGGAACAATAAACCCAAATATGGGAACGCCATGAGGCATTATTGGAAACAAGAAGAAGAACCGTTAAATGACATCCAAAAAACATAAAACGATCGTGAACTGCCTTATATTTGTCTCAATATTGTTGGGAAAGACTTTGATATTGTAAGGGCCATCGTAGTTTCAAATCGATTCCCTATTTCTAAAGCAGTCCACCACCCGGCACCGGGTCGCGTGCCCAAATTTGGGAATGCTCTTGTACACTGGCTCGCGCTGCAAGCGTTCCTTATTGTGGGAACGGCGTAAACAAAATTGGGAACGATTTCACTGACGCCTTTCACGGGCTCTTTTCATTAGCATCACGTCCAACGCCGCAAGTTATTGTTAACCTTCCAGGCGGTGGGGGGGGGGGGCGCATTTTTTGCCCCCCCCCCTTTAGTTTTTTTCTTCTATATATCTCCAGAACCGCTGCGCCGATCGTCACCAAACTTTCAGTACCCTCCCGTGAATAGCTATTGCATATTGTGACAAAAAAAAAATCCAAAGGCTATGATAGGTTGGCCGTAAATGACGTCAGAGTGACGTCATCTCTGCCATTTTCGACCCAAAAAAGGTTTCGCGGGAAGAGCTGTCAGGCTTACAGCTTTAGAGATACAGAAAAATGTTTCAGACATAAAAGGTGTAGAATCAAGTGGGCTACAAAACTGCTATCTAGGATTTTTGAAATTTTTGGATTTTGACCCCCAAATATCAATTTTTTAATATAATAGCCGAAAAATCCGAAAAGTTTTTTGAATTTAAAAAATCGGAATATATGTGATATTCCCTACCGCCTTCTATCTACATACCAAATTTGAGATCGATACCTCTTTTTTTGGCCAAGTTATAGCGAAAAAAAAAACTATTCAAAATTGATGACGTCAAATTTTCAAACTCAATTTTTAGCAATTCTAGACCTCGTAGCGCAAATCCAAGACCACCATTAGACTCCCCGTGACGAGCTGTATCGAATCAATACCCATTTTATGCAAAACTAACAACTTTGAAATTTGACCTTTTTTGGCCTGACCTTGACCTGACCTTGACCTGACCTCCACCAGAAAGTGACCTAAACCGTACCTGATGGTCTTATAACCAACACCATTGAGTTGGAAATGGAAAATTGGCCATAAAACATACATCGCACAACCTTAGTGAAGTTGGGTTCATGTGGTGACCCTTGGTGACCTGACCTGTGACCTGACCTGGTATGACCAGTGACCTCTAATAGCAACACATGTACTAGACAACTGACGCCCTATCGCTGATTTTCAACAAAGTGGGTTTTACTTGGTGTTATAGCGCTTTCCCTAGAAGACCCGTGAACGGTGAAACATTTTATCTTTGACCTGACCTGTGACGTCATCGGTGACCCCGAGGTCAAAGAAATTTGGTTGCCTTCGACAAATTTGACAGGACTATCGAACGTCGTTTGAATTTTCCGGATCCGTTCAGCAGTTTCGGAGATACGGGGGGGGGGCAAAAAAATGCCCCCCCCCCCCCACCGCGCGGAAGGTGGCCGGGAGGCCCACCGCCTGCCGGATTAACCCGCGCATGACTGGGGTATTTTCCGTAACACGAGTGACTGAGGGGGTGGGTGGGTAGGGGGGCTCTCCAGAGCACATGAAATGATGATCTCATTTTAACAAGTCGATGGAGGAAATAGAATCTGTCATTTTGCCGCCCAAAGCTATCGAACACTTGCTCAAGCATGTAAAATCATGATTGCTTACGCTTTTTGCTAGGTCTGACGCTTAGCATTTAGGTACATTGTCGGCCTTGATGACGTCTATATTGTATCACTAAGGTCAGCGGAGTTTTCTTCTATAATTCACGATCAAATTAAGGTAGCGAGTCGGAAAAGCCGCCAATGGACTCAGAAAGATATGCCGAATCAAATATAATGCAGCATGACATTTTACGACCAACTACGTGACCTGAGAGGCTGTGACCCGACCTTGACCGAAATGATAAAGTTATGTACAACGTTGGACATCCGTTGGTTTCAGAGTGGTACCGTGACTTTGAAAGGTACGAGGGATACAGGATCTGATGATCGAGGTGATGCCCGGTCCCGCCTGGCTCCGAGCGTGTGTGTTCGTTGGTACGCTGCCGCTGCGCCAGACGGTACTCGGACCGCGGCCATTGTTTGTTTGGTCTCTCTCCGACCGAGGCCGTCGCTGGAGACAGAGTTTCTGCTCAGTGTCGGTCCGAAGTCGCTGCCGGTGACATTACTGAGCTGGAGTGCTCGTTTTGGGTGAGTACATTTTTGACTATCGGTGAAAAAATGTCATTAGGCTTGTAATGTAGCGTATCGTTCTGTTGGTGGATAGTGATCATAGCCTGTCCCTGTTTAGGAGAATAAACTTGATTGAAAGGCAGCTTTTACTAGCCAATAGGTCAATCTGTTCACGGATGTCCTGCTCTCCAAACATTCATTACCAGTGATTTGTTATTTGCAGACCAACTGGCAGTTGACCTTGAGCCTCGCTCACTGCCCACTGCCACGATGGGCCGTCTGGATGGCAAGACAGTGCTGATCACGGCGGCTGCACAGGGCATCGGTCGCCGCTCCGCGCAGCTGTGCGCCTCGGAGGGTGCCGTCGTCATTGCCACTGACGTGAACGCGGCGGCGCTGGCCGAGCTAGCGACCGAGTCTCCTTCCGTCACCGTCCGCAGACTGGACGTCCTGCGACGGGACGAGATCGAGACGCTGGCCGCCGAGCTGGCCGACTCTGTGGACGTGCTGTTCAACTGCGCCGGCTGCGTGCCGGACGGCGACGCGGCCGACACGACGGACGACGTCTGGCAGCAGACGTTCGACCTCAACGTGCGCTCCATGTTCTGGCTGTGCCGCGCCTTTCTGCCGGCCTTCCGTCGTCGTCGGGCCGGTAGCATCATCAACATGGCTTCAGTGGCCGGTCTGAAGGGCGTGCCCAGGCGACTGGCCTACGGTGCCAGCAAGGCTGCCGTGGTGGGCCTGACCAAGTGTCTGGCCGCCGACACAGTCGCTGATGGGATCCGCTGCAACTGTATCTGTCCGGGCACAGTGGACACCCCCAGCTGGCGCGGCCGGGTGGCGGCCAGCCATGACCCGCAGCGGGCCCGTGCTCAGTTCGAGGCGCGCCAGCCGATGGGCCGAGTGGGGACGGCTGATGAGATTGCCTGGATGGTGGTTTACCTGGCCTCGGATGAGAGCTCGTTCACCACCGGGGCGTCGATGGTGGTGGACGGTGGCTGGTCCATGTGATGGACGGGCTGAGAGCTGGCACGGAGAGGATGGTAGGCGTGTGACGTGTTATCACCTTTATGCGGCAATGACACGTTCTGGTATCAACGACGGAAAGTGAAATATAAGAAGGTTGCGAGGTATTTGATAGAGCAAGGGTTGTTCTATGTGCCAACAACCTAAAGGTCTGGCTACAGTATGCGGGATCCTACTCGCGTGACCCGCGTTTTGTCGGGTTTTGCGGGAAATCGGTACGCAGATGAAGTTCAGCTCATAGGAAATACACAGGCTCGGCTACACTGGGGTCACGTAGATTCAGTCAAGGAAATCCCGTATGCTCAGCACAGGAAATGCTGGATAGTCGGGTTTGTCAGGAGATACAAAGTACAGAACTACGAACTTTTTTTGGCAGAATTCTGCACCCGATGGGAATGTGATGTCTTGAACGAACGTCGTGTAATAATGTTCGGAATCCACGGGCTGTGTAGCAAATACTGATGAGGTCACGAAAAAATAAGCTGGGACTCGGCATTAGCGATCAGTGTCCGTATTATTGTTTGTCGCTGTAATGTGATGACTTATGTGCAAAAAAAAAAAATAAACAACGGACTTTATGTGACTTATGCCGTTACGTGCCGGATGGTACCTAACCTGGATCCCGCGCTAATGAGTAATTGTCGTGCTTTAATGAGTAATGAATAAGTAATAAGTAATAAATAATGAGTAAGAAGGGAGTAATAAGAGAGTAAGTGTTGTAATGAGGAATGAGTAATAATGAGTTTGGAATTACAGTTGTGGCCTAAGGACAAAAATACTGAACAGGGGTGGTTGGCATCTACAAACTACAGACCCAAATGAATTTCGTGATAAAGTCATAGAAAATTGTAGCACAAATGCTGCCAAATGCCCATAAGAGCTATGATGCGCTTTGTTACGCCTTGCTCTTGCCTCGCCATTACAGTCGGTTAGCAAGCATAGCCCCGATAAACAATGGTTGGGTAATGAGGTCGCCGTCGACGCGCCCGTAAACCCCAACAATCAAACCAAATAAACAGAGCATTGCTCGGATAATTCAACGCAAACTTCTGAAATGCTCCAACGCTCAGAAGACATACAGTTGTGTACACAGAGATTGTGCACCCTCACACCGCCTCTTTCCCTGACCCTCCGTCCCTCGCTTTCCAGAGATGTCGGCTGACCCTGCGCCTGTGCGTCGCTCGACGCTTCTGGCGGCGGCGGCGGCGGCAGTGGCGTCTCTGGCGGCCGTCTGGCTGTGGCGCCGCCCCCGCCCCCGCCCGCTCCGGGCGCTCCCGGAGAAGAGGATCGTGGTGGTGGACTCTACCGATCAGTGGTCGACCGTCGGACGGGAGCTGAGAGCGTGAGTTACTGCTGCCGAATGTGTTTAGCTTGCGAGCGACCTTGCATCGCATTCCAATAGTTGATTTTGAGTCAACTTTCGATTTTCCTCGCAGCGAGTTCTGCGAGGCTTGCGGGTTTTTCGTTGGAGTCGAATTTCGGTTCGTTGCGCTGATTTTGCGACTATATGTAATTTTCCGAAGGTGTACCGGCTTCACTGCATTCATGAAGTTACCATAAGGGAACGGTCTAATCACTATGAATTAGTATTATGCCCGCAAACTCAAAACCCGCAAACTCGAGGTCCAGTGTGGGACGGCCTCTAAAGTGTTATTTGTTTTCATTCTCGCCTAGATGTACCAAAGATCTCGTATATACGAGGCATTTCGTACGAGGCATCTCGTACATTTATCGTTTTGCGGTGTTTAGGGGTAGTGGTATGTATGCATTTATGGTATGTATGCATTTATTCAGTGCATAAATGCTCTACTGACCCGTGCTTTCTTGCCTCTTCTCGCATATCAGTTTTCCTTGCACGTCCCCGCCGCTACTATGTTGGGATCCCGCCGCGGTGGCGGATCAGCAGTATGGTATGTGCCATATGCTCTGACCCTGCCTCCATCCTGCTCTCGTTCTCAGCCGGTGCTCCGAGACGCCCGTACTGGGCCTGGACTGCGAGTGGGTGACGGAGCCGGGCGGTCGGCGGCGGCCGGTGGCGCTCCTCCAGCTGGCCACCCTGGATGGACTGTGTGTGCTGGTGCGGCTCTGTCGGCTACCGGATCTGCCAGAGGACCTGCGGGTGAGAGAGAGAGAGGGAGAGAGAGAGAGAGAGGGGGGGGGGGAGGGAGAGAGAGAGAGAGAGAGGGGGGAGAGAGGGGGGTGGGGGTTCGAGACAGGGAGGGAGACGGGAGAAGATTACACAGTGTGGGGGGGGGGGGGCGTGGCACAGTGTTGGAGTGGGTGGACTTTTTGCCAGCATACCGCGGGCTGTTTATATGTAATGTTCCGGGTGTGCTGACTATAGATTGCTCTGCCTCTGCTGACTGCTCAATGGCTGCTGCGGGACCACTCGGTGCTGACCCCTCCCTCTCCCCTCCCCCAGTCTCTGCTGCGGGACCACTCGGTGCTGACCCCTCCCTCTCCCCTCCCCCAGTCTCTGCTGCGGGATCTTCCCGTGCTGACGCCTCCCTCTCCCCTCCCCCAGTCTCTGCTGCGGGACCACTCGGTGCTGACCCCTCCCTCTCCCCTCCCCCAGTCGCTGCTGCGGGACCTTCCCGTGCTGACGCCTCCCTCTCCCCTCCCCAGTCTCTGCTGCGGGACCCTCCCGTGCTGACGCCTCCCTCTCCCCTCCCCCAGTCTCTGCTGCGGGACCACTCGGTGCTGACCCCTCCCTCTCCCCTCCCCCAGTCGCTGCTGCGGGACCTTCCCGTGCTGACGCCTCCCTCTCCCCTCCCCAGTCTCTGCTGCAGGACCTTCCCGTGCTGACGCCTCCCTCTCCCCTCGCCCAGTCTCTGCTGCGGGACCACTCGGTGCTGACCCCTCCCTCTCCCCTCCCCAGTCTCTGCTGCGGGACCACTCGGTGCTGACCCCTCCCTCTCCCCTCCCCAGTCTCTGCTGCGGGACCCTCCCGTGCTGACGCCTCCCTCTCCCCTCCCCCAGTCTCTGCTGCGGGACCACTCGGTGCTGACCCCTCCCTCTCCCCTCCCCCAGTCGCTGCTGCGGGACCCTCCCGTGCTGACGCCTCCCTCTCCCCTCCCCCAGTCCCTGCTGCAGGACCTTCCCGTGCTGACGCCTCCCTCTCTCCTCCCCCAGTCTCTGCTGCAGGACCTTCCCGTGCTGACGCCTCCCTCTCCCCTCCCCAGTCGCTGCTGCGGGACCTTCCCGTGCTGACGCCTCCCTCTCCCCTCCCCAGTCTCTGCTGCGGGACCACTCGGTGCTGACCCCTCCCTCTCCCCTCCCCCAGTCGCTGCTGCGGGACCTTCCCGTGCTGACGCCTCCCTCTTCCCTCCCCCAGTCGCTGCTGCGGGACCCTCCCGTGCTGACGCCTCCCTCTCCCCTCCCCAGTCTCTGCTGCGGGACCCTCCCGTGCTGACGCCTCCCTCTCCCCTCCCCCAGTCGCTGCTGCGGGACCCTCCCGTGCTGACGCCTCCCTCTCCCCTCCCCCAGTCTCTGCTGCAGGACCTTCCCGTGCTGACGCCTCCCTCTCTCCTCCCCCAGTCTCTGCTGCAGGACCTTCCCGTGCTGACGCCTCCCTCTCCCCTCCCCAGTCGCTGCTGCGGGACCTTCCCGTGCTGACGCCTCCCTCTCCCCTCCCCAGTCTCTGCTGCGGGACCACTCGGTGCTGACCCCTCCCTCTCCCCTCCCCCAGTCGCTGCTGCGGGACCTTCCCGTGCTGACGCCTCCCTCTTCACTCCCCCAGTCGCTGCTGCGGGACCCTCCCGTGCTGACGCCTCCCTCTCCCCTCCCCCAGTCTCTGCTGCAGGACCTTCCCGTGCTGACGCCTCCCTCTCCCCTCCCCAGTCGCTGCTGCGGGACCTTCCCGTGCTGACGCCTCCCTCTCCCCTCCCCAGTCTCTGCTGCGGGACCCTCCCGTGCTGACGCCTCCCTCTCCCCTCCCCCAGTCGCTGCTGCGGGACCCTCCCGTGCTGACGCCTCCCTCTCCCCTCCCCCAGTCTCTGCTGCAGGACCTTCCCGTGCTGACGCCTCCCTCTCCCCTCCCCCAGTCGCTGCTGCGGGACCTTCCCGTGCTGACGCCTCCCTCTCTCCTCCCCCAGTCTCTGCTGCGGGACCCTCCCGTGCTGACCCCTCCCTCTCCCCTCCCCCAGTCTCTGCTGCGGGGCCCTCCCGTGCTGACGCCTCCCTCTCCCCTCCCCCAGTCTCTGCTGCAGGACCTTCCCGTGCTGACGCCTCCCTCTCCCCTCCCCCAGTCGCTGCTGCGGGACCTTCCCGTGCTGACGCCTCCCTCTCCCCTCCCCAGTCGCTGCTGCGGGACCTTCCCGTGCTGACGCCTCCCTCTCCCCTCCCCAGTCTCTGCTGCGGGACCCTCCCGTGCTGACGCCTCCCTCTCCCCTCCCCCAGTCTCTGCTGCGGGACTTTCCCGTGCTGACGCCTCCCTCTCCCCTCCCCAGTCGCTGCTGCGGGACCGCGCGGTGCTGACGCCTCCCTCTCCCCTCCCCCAGTCGCTGCTGCGGGACCGCTCGGTGCTGAAGGTGGGCGTCGCCTGTCTGGAGGACGGCGCGCTGCTGCTCGCGGACCACGCGGCGCCGGTGCGCGGCTGTGTCGACCTGCGTCACCTGGCCGGCCGGCACCCGGACAAAGCGCGCCTGCTGCGCCGGCCCGGCCTGGCCGCGCTGGCCCAACATCTACTGGGAGTTCATCTGAGCAAGGGCCGCCGCCTGCGCTGCAGCAACTGGGAGGCGGACGCGCTCAGCGCCGACCAACAGGTCAGTGTGGAGCGGAGCGGTGGACCGAAAGGAAGGGGACCGTGGCGCCAAAGGGGAGGGAAGTGGTGTTCCCAAGGGCGACTCATTGTGCTTATAAAACTTAGGACTGTCTCCCACTTTTTTAAAATTTATTTTTGTCAGTTTCAGCATGATCACAAATCACTACCTTTTCTTGACTGGCGTCTCCTCTCATAATCTTCCAGTTACCCGTCCGTCTGGTTTCTTTCCTTCTTCCTTTTGTCCGACCATCCGTTTTCTGTCCGTTTCCCGTCCATCGACTCCTGTTCCTGGACCCACCCGTTTTCTGTGTCGTCCATTAATCAGTTGTTCTTCCCTCAGGAGTACGCCGCGGACGACGCTCTGGTGGGCGCGCTGCTGTTCCGTGCCCTGCTCGAGCCCAAAGTACCGGAGCTGACTCGGAGTACGTGGCCGCGCGTGCTCTCTGCCTGCCAGGGCCTGGTCGACTGCAAGTACAAGCCCAGCCACGCGGTGAGGACCGGCGAAAGATCAAGGAAGCCGCTGAGCAGGCTGCAATTGGTGGCTGGGAAGGGGTTTAATTCGATAGAGGGGTACTGAGCGCAGGTGAACTCCTAGGTGATAGAACAGTAAGCCCCAGCTAAAGGTGTACTGGTTTTGTTAGCGTATGAGTTAGACTAAGAAGGTTGTCATCAGGGCTGCGGAGTCTGAGTCGGAGTTGGAGTCGGTCGGAGACCACAGTTCCGCCCGGAGTCGGAGTCGGAGTCGCCAAAAATCTTACCGACTCCGACTCCGGAGTTAGAGTTAACGCTGCGTGGCTCAACGTCATGCCCTGCACCTGTTTACTGGGCGATCCTACGCTCGTTGACCTTTCGAAATCAAAGATTTTTTACGCTTTTCCTTCGAGCTGCCAGCAAACATTAACGAGAGAATTAGACTACTCCGTGGAAGTAAACCATCGCGTGACACCCAGTACCCACACCACCTAGCACCTGACATTAACCCTCGCATGTGTGCGGCGTTTGCCAGCTTCTAATGTGTAGGGGGGGGGGGGGGTCGGTTGGACCCCCCCCCCCTTGCCGTTTGGCCCCTGATCGAGCTAGAGCTTCGCGGAAAAAACGAGCGTGTTGCCCGTGACGAGAGGAAGCCGATGATACCCAATTTTAAGGTCATTGGTTGACCTTCCAGGTCAGGTCAATGACCCAAAGTCGGGAAAATCGGGACCTGTTAGAAAGTCGTAAAGTGTGGCTTCTAATGGGTTTTTCGGGGTGCTGATCACGAATATCGTGTTAGTTTTGATCACAGATGATGTCTTGAAGCATTTAGACCAGGTCGGGTCAGGTCAGGTCAGGTCAACCAGTAGGCGTCGTGACGGGTATTCGTAGTACGTGTCAACCGCCTCTGACAGCTTCGTAACAAGTTACGAAGTCACCAAAACTACTTCGTAAATGTTCAAATGGTTGCTAAATTCGAATTCAGCTCCAAAAACTAGCCTAGAAACATGTAAAACTCGAAAAAGTGAACCGAGGTCACCCGAGGTCACCAAAGGTCAATGACCTGACCTGACCTTCAGGTGACCTTGACACCCACGGGAGTAACATCAAATTACATGTTTGAACGTTTGAAACCACGAAAAGCTTGCAAACGCGCGGCTAGTGCGAGCCGACATACGCGAAATCGCGATTCCGGCCAAACATGGTCTCGGAAAAGAGGTCACAGGTCAAAGGTCATTCGGGTCAGGGCCATGAAATTTTCAGGGTAGGTGTAAAATTGATCAATGCGAGGGTACTGAAAGTTTCGTCGCGATCGGCCGCTTTTTACGCGAGTTATTCGCGAAAAACCATGGGGGGGTCCATCCGACCCCCCCCCTACACATGCGAGGGTTAAAACACCGTAGCTGTACAAACAGGGGCTATTGGTATAGATAGATAGATAGATAGATAGATAAGCTTTATTTCAGACTCTGGGTCCATACTCTTAACTACTGATGATTTCAGTCAGTGCAGTGGCAAGACAACCAAATGTCACACAAACAATCATTCGGGCCTGTTTCAGCACTCGCGCAGAGCTATGTGCTAAAATGAACGTACAGTTGCTGTTGCCAGTGGCGCCTCAGGCGAGAACGGTATTTTACACTCGAATTTTCAGTCTTTTTTACCAGCTCACTATCACATGTACTCAGCCTGCACATGAAGTTGTAGATGCGCTGTCTGATGAGAACGGCACAATGAGGAACACGGTGCACGACACATGTGTGAGAAGAACTCTCGTACCTAGAAATGCCTAGCATAGTTTTCAATACCGTATGGTAAGCCACCATCAGCCGGCGCAACATACACTGGCGATAATTTGACCACAAGTGTGCAGTGTACATAGATGAACAAAACGCTGTAAAGAGACGCACCTTTGCTGCTACCGAGCACATGTGAAAACGACGAATCAGCACATTCCCCTGTTTGTACATTTGTTTACACTGCCGATCTATGTCAAGGTCATCTGAGTAAGCATGATTACTGATGATATGCCCTAAGTACTTTACATGATCAACCTCCTTTAGAGGAACACCTTCAATGAACAACCTTGGCAATATCAAATCTTTCATGTGTTTAGAGCGACAAGCCAGTACAACACTTTTCTTTGCATTGTACAAAATATTGCAAGTTTTTCCGAATTCTCCACACAATGAAATCAGTTTGCTCAACCCTGCAACCGACGGTGATAACAATACTACATCATCTGCGTACATCAGATGATTGATTTTCGCATCCCCTACCCAGCAACCTACATTCTGTCTATTTAACAAAGAACTCAGACCGTCCATATACACATTAAACAGATATGGGGACAATATGCCACCCTGCCTTACACCGTTCGATACCCTAAATTTAAAGGAAATGGCACCACCCCACCGGACACACATTTCCTGACGGGCGTACCAGTACACGAGTACACGAACAATGTATATTGGGACTGCTCTGTCTCGAAGAATGTCGAAAAGCCTTTTATGCTGTACACGATCGAATGCCTTGCTTGAATCCAAGAAACACATAAATACACTGCCATTCATGGACTTGTACAGATCAATAGACTGTTTCAGGAGGTATATGCACTGGTCAGTTCCCATTCCCTTTTTGAAGCCAAACTGATTGGAGGCTGTCAACAGGTGGTCCTCCATCCGTTCCAAAAGGATTAGTTCTAGCGCTTTACTCATTACGCTAGCTAGCGCAACGGGTCGGTAGTTATCTTTTGCAGTGACCTTACCAGCTTTATCCTTGATAATCGGCACCAGGACCACCGCCATCATTGATTCTGGGAGAATGCCGTGCATAAGTAGTGCTGTGAAGCAAGCGGATAACTTTGACGATAAACTTTTCCCCGCATATTTCAAGTTTTCGGCCTGTAAACCATCAATCCCACTAGCTTTCCCACACTTCATTTTTTGGACAGCATCCTGAATCTCGCCTTCGGACACTCTGATATCACCTACAGACGATTCCCTGTCCTCTTCCCAGAGCGTACCATCTGATGACGGCATCGAATTGAGAAGGCTGGAGAAATGTTTCCCCCAAAAGTCAGCAATCTCACCCTCACCACACACACCGTCAATCACTGATGGTAGGGGAGTACTACTGTTACTCAGCGATCTTATTTCTTTCCAAAAAGATTTACAGTCATTGTCACATAACTTTTTGGCGATGGCTTCACGTCTCAAAACACTTTCATTTTTCTTAACAAAACGAATGGCATACTTACACCTGGCCCTGCCTCTGCTGTAGGCATCAAACACTGGGCCATGCTTAGGTTTCCCTGCTTCTTGCCAAAGTCGATACAGGTCTTTCGATTCTTTGTACAGGTCAGAAACATAGTAATTCCATCCAGGGACACATTTGAAAGACTTTCTGGCCCTAGCATCGTTTACAAAATTTTCTGCCTGCAAAAGGGCGCGACATATTTGTTCGTACAGCGCTATGCACTCTGCCCTGTGTTCCTCTGAAGTGCAGTTCGGTTCAGAACATGTTATGCCTGGTGCATCAGTTGCAACACTAGTTAACAAATCCTTACATTTATCAGAGTATATCTTAAGAGATTCAGGAGATAACTGGTCCCACTTAGTGCTACTTTGCACATCGTTTTGAACCGCAGTCATCTCTGGTAGCTGTGTGATATCCATTTTGAGCAATAGCGGCAAATGATCACTTAATGAGGGCTGATCGCCAATTTCCATATCAGAAATAGCAGCATGTGCATCGCTACTGGCAACAACATGATCCAACCATGATTGAGTACCCCAAGCGTCGCTTACATACGTAAAACTGTCGCCAGGTAACATCGCATGTGATGATAAATGAAGGCTGTTAGAATCACAAAATTGCACTAAGGCAGAGCCAAATAAGCTATTGGGGCAATCCTTCATATCAGCATTCCAGTCACCCAAAATTAGAAAGCATGTGGTGTTAAGGTCGCTGATGATACTTTCTAAAACTCCTAACTGTTCAGCATACTTATCGGTATTCTCACGACACTGAAATGGCATATATACATTAAGCACGATGAGACGTTTTGTGGGCAGAGAAATCTCAAGGGCACAGCACCAGTCTAATTCTAAGTCAATAGGTTTCGCAAATGCTGCCATAGACTTCCGAAACAGGATAGCTACACCACCAGACGGATGACCAGTGCATATACCATCTCTAAAATCTTCTGTTGCACAACCAAAACCATAAAATTCTTCATGAAGACTATTCAGGTGACCTAGCTCCTGCTTTGAATACCACGTTTCTTGAACACATGCTATGTCCGCGCACTCTAATACATCAACAACATCAGGGCGTAACGATAGGCTTTTACTAGTTTTGGGGAGACCTCGAACATTGAAACTAGCCAATCTCATGCGGATGAGGAGCTTGGGCTGATGGTGGCCCGGTTTTGAGCGTTTGTGATCGGCCCACGCCACCTTCTCACATAGGTGTTCTCGGGCCATAAGTCTGGCTGTATTAGCGTGTTTGGCTCTTCACATCTGCAGCTGACACGAAATGACCTGTATGTGTCATATCGAGTTTGAACGCTCTCAACTCTAACATCGCTATCTGCGCCCAGCTTTCCTATCAGGAAAGTTTTGACCATCTCAGGGGACACAGACGTGTGGAATCTAGACACAAAAAGGTGCGCTCTCCTATGGGACCTACTGTCCACTGTTAACAGTCCAGTGTTTTTCGCCGCGCCAGTTACGCTCCCAGAGGATTCGTTGGTTGCCCTCCCCACAGCTGTGGAAGGACTAGCGCTGGGTGACGCTGCAGTCTCATTTTTAGTCACAGGAACCGGTTTTAGCTTACCGTTTACACGTCTCATCGTCAACCAGTCCTCCTCCTCCTCCCGCTTAGCTGTAGATGACACGACATCTGCATATGAAGTAGCTCCCCTTCTCACTTCAGCTTTATCACTAGGAGAACTGTCGTTGAAGCTGTTCGAAGCGTTGCGCGAGTCATGGGCAGCGACCGTTGCTAGCTGACTCCCGGAAACAGCAGCAGCAGCTCTTGCAGTAGCTGTATGCGCTGAAGTGATGTCAGTCGCAGCAGTCGAGGTCGAAGAAGTCGAGGTCGAAGTCGTAGCTTCTGAAGTAGAGGCTACTGTGACGACAGGAGCAGACATTGCACCAGCAACGTCATGGTCAGTCACAGCAGTCTTACTCTGGTTGCTCACGATCTGATCAGTCTGGAGCTTGACCTGGCCGACCACTTCCGTGAGCGACTGCACGGCGCACTGTTGGGCGGTCATACTGTCCTTCAGGAAATCAAGCTCTGACTGCGTTTTCTTGATCTGGCTTAGCAGACAGGAGACATCAAGACTGTCAAAAGAAACCGGAGGCAGCTTTTGTAGATCACGGGCTACAAACAAGGGGACGTCTGTTCCCTTCTCTTGCATCAGTTTGATTATGTCTTCTAAGTTTTGTTGAGTTTTTTTCCTCCCAAGTCTTTTCTTAAATCTGGAAGTATCAGCTCCAGCACACATATCATATAAGAGCCTTTTTGATGCTTCTACATCCGCTTCATTAAATGTGGACTCACATAGCTGAACAATGGTATCTGGTGGTAAAGTATCAAGCTTGTTCTGAACGAAGCAAAGAAGTTCGTCAATCGTGATGTTCTGAGAACCAGCTGAGTTGCTCATTTCTTCAGTATTTTATCTGTCGAGGTTTGCTTCATACGGGCTCTGTCGTGCAAAACACGAGAATTGCAACGAAAAATCAAGAGCCAATCACGACTTTCGCAAGGCTAGGAAAATCAATGCCAAGCGAATTAGGTCAAAATTTTTAACGAGTTAAACCGCTGATTAAGCAGCTTAGAATCCACTAAATCGGTATGATTCTAGTACAATCGCGTACTACAATTAATGTTCTTTCAGAGCATACCAATTTGATATTACACCGATTGCCATATCCGCATTAAATAACCAAAAAACAGGAGCGCTGCAAAACACGTCCGACCAATCCGACCAATCCGACCAAGGTATATTCATTATTCAGCCCAAACGAACACGGCAAAAAACATACACGCTCAAAGTCCCTAGAGAGATTGCCATCTATTCTATCGGGCTATTACCGTCACGCGGCGCATTGATGCCACCACCACCTCGCAAATACCTGTCGTGTGTCCAATTCCATCCCCGGAAAAAGTCCTAACTAAAAAAAAAAAATGGGAGGGGGGCTAATGGGGAAAACACATTTTGTGGAAAACCCCACAATGTATACATCCTTCCTCCATGCAAATACAGTGGCGGCAAATGCGCTTGGTCACGTGACCAAATCTGCACGTGCAGTTGTGGCGAGGGCACTTCCCGAAACTCTGGTGCCAACGGCCTCGCGGCGCCCATAGAGAATACATGGGACCTTTTCTTTTCAGACCTATCGTGTCTAAACCAAGCCATTTAGTGCAAGGATACGACTGGTTTGAGATTCAGTAGTCTTTGGGCTATAAGTCGGCATAAGAAACGTATTTTTATCGGCAAAATTCGCAAAGTACCAGGTGGTTTTCCGATACCCTGCACGCCTCCTAACCCCCGGCGGCCGACCGGAGGAGTCCGTAGCGCTCCACTCACGACTTTTGGCGATAGCTCAAAACATCTTACAGCTAGAGGGCTGCTATTTGGCACACTTTTATCTTTGCTTCCATACGCATCTTTGGAAACCAATTGCATTTCCGTCTCAGGTCAGATCACTGACTTATGACGTCACACGTGAACCTCTGCAACAGTCCCAAAATACCGAAACTTCGCAATGCCCTCGGTGCCAGAGGAGCTGTCACAGCGAGATGATACTTACAGGATCTAGTATCCTCTAGGAGTCTCAAAACTTGTATATGTCGGATTTCTCCTAGAGGTCACATGAGGTCAGGCCGATCGCGTGACGTCACCATTACAAGTCAATGGGGAAAATATGGAAACTGTAATTTTGACGCCGAGAATGAACTAAACCTAGCTCAAGCACATGGAATCGCAATTTCATGCAATTCTTGCAATGTCCAATGCTTCACTTTTGCATCTTTAACCTAGCGTGACGTCATTTATGACGTCACAAAGGTCACAAGTTTTTTTCGTCAATAACTCCTGATTAAATTGAACTGGCAAGTCGGAAAAGTCGCCAATAGACTCGGGAAGACCTACCGAATCGAATTATATACGATATAACCTCCTCCGACCAAGTTCGTGACCTGAGTGCCTCTGACCTGGCTTTGACCCGATGTGAACACCTTATGTTGACCCCACCCAAACAAAAGTGAACGATTTTAACGCACCGGAGCATGACAAACATGATGGTACTAAAATCGCGACTCTGCGCCGTTTTTTGGCAATGTTATTTCTCAAAACCCGAAATCGTATTTTGGCCCTCGGGGCACTTGACCTGACCCTCAGGCCTCAGAGGCCGCCAGTTGACCTGAGACTTTTTAACCGTGCATCAATCGCTGCGTCCCCGGTCCCGTAACGGCATACATGCTTGTTTTTCCCGCGAGGCTAGCTCAATTAGGGCGAGGGAGTCGTACCCGCCCACTCTCGTGGCTGGGGCGTAGGTATGTAAAAAAAATGTCTGGTGATGATTGATGCAAGATTCTTACAGATAATGGTAGATGAAGGTAGGGCATCAGTTATTAAAGATAAGTGAAACAAATTTGCAGCCATCAGTAGCATTGATTTATGTTATAGAACCATGGGCGGCGGAACGGGGAGGGCACCGGGGCACCGTGCCCCCTTTAATTTTGGCATTTTAACATTAGCCCTATGGGCGTTGCATGCAGAAAGAATCGGACCGAAAGTCGGCAGTGCCCCCCCCCCCTTAATTGAAGGTGTTCCGCCGCTACTGTTTAGAACAACTGTAAGCTGCATGCTCAGCTGTTCAGTTTCTACCTATGCCTGCAAACACAATAAAATCAATGGAAGAGTAATAATAGATTAATTGCATTTTATTGATGCTATTCAAGTATCAATGGTAACTATGTCACCGATGATTCAATATTATTTGCACGGCATCATTTACCACCACAGTCTAAATATTTAGCATCTAAAATAATGCAGTAAAATACGCTGCGCCACGTCTGTCGACAAAATCTGGTGCCAACTCAAGGTCAAACGGAAAATATGGTCACGTGACCAATGTCCGGCAGCTCATTGAAAACCCCATCTTTATTTACAGGTGTCGTGCGTGTAAAAAAAAAAATACTTCTAGTGATGGGTAGGTGGGAGCGCAAAAAAAAAAAACACGGTCAAGGCGGCCACAACCGAGCTGCGACCATCCGGACAGCTCAACACGCAATAGACACGTAGCCACTTTGAACATCGCGCCGCCGCCACCCCACGACGAGCCGAGGAAATGCACCAATCAGGAGAGGTCAGCGCAGGTATGAATTTTAATAAAAACGTCCGGAGTCGGAGCTGGAGTTGGAGTCTGAGTCGGAGTCGATTTTGAAGCCGGAGTCGGAGTCGGAGTCACCCGAAAATCCATCGACTCCCTAGCCCTGGTTGTCATGTCATACCACTCGTGACTACCTGGTTTTACGGTAAAGCTGGGCTCCAAGTTTTTTTTTTTCGATGCAGTGCATTCATAAGTTTACCGCTAAGTTACATGCTTCTGGAAATGCGATGCGGCAGTGTCGATAACCAAATACGCCGTCCGCCAGTTCTTACGCATACCTGACTCCCCTGTCTCCCCCTCCGCCTCTCTGCTCTCACAGGCCCGTCAGCACGCCGACCCTGCCGTGTCGCCGCCGCCGCCGCCCGCTCCAGCGAACCGCGGCGGGTCGCGTACGGTACCCACCTCCTACCAGCAGTCCAAACAGGTGTCTGCGGGATACCAGCTGCGGAAGAGCCAGCTGTACGACAACGCCCGGCTGCTGGCGCCTGACGACCAGCCGCTCAGTGTGGTGGAAAACTCCAAGGCCAGGTGGGACCTGGGAGGGAGCCGGGAGGGTAGTGAGGTCATAGGAGTGGTGACATTTTGAGGTGACGGTTCCCGGTGACTGTCAGTGATATGTGTCTCAGTCCGATCCAGATGGAATCTAGTTTATGAATAGTGTCTTGAATGGTAGATCATGACTGAGCTGTCTAACTAGATGCCCAGAGCTGTCTAGTGTTTCCGCACCTTTGAACGGTCATGAAAGCATTTAATTTCGCGAGTAGTTGAACAAAGCGCTTTGATATTTTGACAGGTCAGTGCATGCATCTCTGTACTGTGACCCTGGTGATTTACTGAGCTGCTTGCTGACGCTGCTGCCCTCTTACGTGCCTTGCCAGGTGGTACGTGTATAAGGGGCTGGGCGATATAGTGCAGGAGGATCCCCTGGTGGTAAAACTGCGGTTCGAGCCGGCCGGTCGGCCCCAGCAGGAGGGCAACCACGGCTACTACTACCTGCAGGTGAGGATAGACGCTTCTCGGTTGGTATGTTATTGTTGGTCTCTGAGAAAGTGTGTGACTGCTGTGTGGATGACAAATGATTTGACGATGGCCTTGGCTTTATGTTTTTTTATGAAAAGGAGGTTTAGCATGTTATTCTGTTGATAAACATAACACAACCATCTGTTTAGGTGTTGTGCTTCCAATTGGTATGTCGGTCACTGTTGAGGACTTGCCTTCATTATCTGTCGCGCCCTCACTATGACTCTCCTGGTTGTTAGAGTGAGATTGATGAGTTTGCTTCTCTCCTTGTGACAACGATTGTCTCACTCGGTCAGGAGAAGGACAACTGCTGTGTGCGATGTGGCGCCAGCGACGGCTACGTCAGGAAGAACATCGTGCCGCAGGAGTACCGAAAACACTTCCCCGGTGAGTACAACTGGGGAAACGCCCGGATCGATACCCGTTTTCGCGTAATATTCCCAGCACACTGATACTCTGTAATACATAAGGCCATGTCTTTACTACGCATAATTGCATAATTTGTATTTGAAGAGAAAATTTACTCTTGTGCAACGCTAAATTATGCTCGCAGTAGGCACACTTTGTGTCGGAATCAGTTGAGGCTACAGACGAATGGTAGGGCGAGTCTTGACTGGTTCGTATCTAACAGACTCGTATGGAGTCTGGTTCGTATCTTCATTCGCTGTGTCGGCCGGAGCAATTCTATCCAGCTCGACCAGTTCCAGAGTCGACCGGAAATCTAGTCTTACCAGATTTTCCGTCCTGTGAGTTGTACCGAACACCCAGTCTCGTCTGGTGTCCTATTCTACCACGCGTTTGACTGGCGCCGCGCGCCGCCCTGCTTCATCCGCAGAGATAATGAAGTCGCACCAGTCGCACGACGTGCTGCTGATGTGCGTCAGCTGCCACCAGGAGAGTAACAGCCTGGACCTGAAGATGCGCCAGCGGCTGGCTGAGGAGTGTCACGCTCCTATCGGAACAGAGGCTGACGTTAAGGTGGGAAGAACGGGAGCATTAGCTCGTAGTTCTCTCTGCAGTTATAATTCGCTTGTGTCTTAGTATCTCCCAAATGAAATTATCTTAAAGGGTCAGCTTAGGCAATTTCTACCATCCCTTCCGTCGCATTTATTCCCCCCAAGGGGTGGCTCGTGCCCGCTTCCCTTCTCGTAACACGAAGTATAGTCAGAACCCAGTGCTGATCATGTCGAGTCAGTTTGCATGCGAATAGAATGCCCCTTCAGGAAAGACGTTCACGTTCCCCACAACTCCCTCGGTGACTTTCTCCGTTGTATCGCAGGTGCGGGAGGACCAGGCGCTACGGAAGGTGAAGTCAGCGGGCCGCGCGCTGCTCAAGAGTCGCGACAAGCTGCCGCCGCAGCGGGCCGCCGAGCTGGAGAGCGTGCTGCGGGACTACTACGGCGTCAGCACCATCACCGACGACATCCTCCACAGCGCCGCCAACATGTGCACCAAGTGGGTACTGCTGCATCAAGCTTCAATAATTGTGGTGGTCGTCAATGTGTAAATTAAGCGATGAATCATGCAAATGCATGAATTTAGCCACTCAAATTTTCCTTTGCTTGTAAACGAACTGAAAAAAATGCGCAAAGAATATTTTTTAATGAAATATGAATGAAGTTTCTCTACATATTTTGTATTTTCCTTGTCATTGGTATCTCCCCAGTGATCTCAAACGGCATCTATGCTTTACTCTGTCCTGCCAGTACCTAAGTGTTTATGTGTTCATCGACCACCCGTAATGTGTCTCCGTCTCTAATGCTGTCCCTCTCTGCCACTCCCGCAGCCACCCGAACTCGGAGTACATGTCGCACGGCGAGGCCGTCTACCGACACTTCTGTCAGCCGGGCCGCGGTCTCATCCAGCTAGAACGCCGCTGGCGGCAGCACTTCCTCGACTCCATGCGGCCCGCCCGGCTGCCCGAGCTCTGGAGCGTCGACCACAACCACGCCAAGATCCGCTGGAAGATCCGACGCGCTGACTGGCCGCTGCGAGTGAGAGAGGATATTTGGAGGCGGTGTATTGGGTCGGAGTACTGGGATGAGAAGGACGAGGGCCCGGTGATGGGGCTGGGACCGGGCGCCGGGCGTGTGAGGGAGAGGGAGGAAGAGGAAGATGGGCAGGATGTTGAGACCGAAGATGGTGGAGAGGAGATAGATGTGGAAGAGGATGGAGAAGTGGATGTAGAGCTAGAAGATGAAGATGAGGAACTGGAAGATGATGGGGAAGATGTTGAGGTGGAGGTGGAGGGTGAGGTTGACGTACAGGTAACAGTAGAGGGAGTTGAAGAGAAGGACAAGAGAACAGTGAACGGTTACGGAGGCGCCGCCAGCACCTAGGCGGCGCCACTGACGCGGTGGACCCGTGGCGACGTGCGGTGTCGTCAGGAAGGTGTTCATGTTCCAGTGACTAACGTGTCCCGATTGACCGGCACGCTCAGCAGTCAGCGTCACAGCCGCTTTCGGTAAGTCCGTCCTCGAGAGAGGGAGAGGGTGTGAAACAGGGTATCGAGATGGGATGGGATGGATCGTGCCGCTGTTGCTGTTACAGCAAACGCAGGACATCATTTAGGCTAGGTTAGCGTCCGCAGAGTTGGAACCAGTCTTGCTTTTAGTACCCACTAGCTTGGGTAGTACAGGAGTACCGTTCAACGCCTGTGGTGCAGTGGCGCACGTCGCCTCTTGTGATGTCCTAATTGGTAGTTAGTCGCCTGACTGGGTGCGGTTGGGAAGGGTCACTGTCGCGTGCTCTATCCCGCATAACAACTGAGACGGTCCTGAGAAGTGCTTTGCCAACCCTGGTCCAGGTTTAATCTGGTGGTGCTTGACTTGTCGATTTCATCGACATATGAGTGGGTCGTTGTGTCGCTGGCTTGTGTTTTTCATCGACTGCTCTTCAGACATTTTTAATCAGCTATCCACATTCTTACCTTTTGCAATGCATTGCTGTGATCATTGGTGTTTGATGTGTGCGACAATCACAAAATTCGACTGTTTTTAATCATATTAGCACACTGCCTTTGTCAGAGATCACCCATGATCACATCATCTGTTTTATTCCCGATTCATTTTGTTTTCGTGATATTGCTGCAAGGCTATTGCTGCAAGGCAATATCCACGATCCATGAAGCCACGCAACACCTACCTCTTTATGGTAATGATGACAATCCTCACACGCCATTGATTGCTTGTTGTGACCAAATTCGCCACACGGTCGTCTCGGCTCGGCGTTTTTAGCTCGTGCGGGGTCCGTCGGCCCGGTGGACCCGTATCGTTCACGGTTGTCCCGTGATCCGTGATGAAACCCCGTCACGGAGTTTCGCTCTCCCCCTCCGCTCTTATCGTTAGATTGTGCAGCGGCGTCAGAGAAAGGCGGCGGAAAGTGGCGCAGTTGCGACAGCTGATCATGACTAGATATACCTCGAGACCGTGGTGATCTGATCCGGCAGTTTGTTGCAGAGCACGTTTGTGATATGGGATCGTCAGCCCGTTTTTGTACCTGTTGATTTGTGATTGCTGGAGTTTAATTTCGCGTAAGTCATAATAAATTGTGATTTATATGCTTTTCCCTATCTTTGTGGTGATTACCTACGGCCTATGCTATTCTCCGAGTCAGTTTCGCTCACAGCTATGTATATCACATTTAAAGGCAATAACACATGTTATCCACGCACCAAAATTCAATTAGGAATGCGACGCCCTATTACCCTTGAGTAACGTGATCCTGTATATGTAAACGATACACGAGAACACTATGTAAAAACAACATTTGCGATTGGTCATGTAGTGAAAGTGGTGACTCAGGCGTTTTTCGCTAGCATCACTGACGGACAACACTCTGTGCTCACCGCTCACGACAGTATGATGTGATGTTATGAAGTCTCAACAGCACACGCGGCAAATATAGGTAGTCCATCCTGATCCTGGCGATTGTGACAGTGGATCGTGACTTTGGAACGGCCTCCTGCAGCCAGCGGAGAGAAGCCCGCGTTCGTCGACCAGAGGGTCGATTTCGTGGCATGTAAATAGTTGCAGTGTTCTAAAATTGGATATTGGTTGGGTGTGCCGATGAAGGAAAAAATCCTAGGATGAAAAAAAAGAAAGTAAATAACTGCAGTATTTTTGCAAAATGGTGTAATGCCAATTTTTATGCTAACTGATAAACCAGGATTTCATGTCAGGATCTTGACAGGGTGTGGAACAAAAGGATGTGGGTGCATCAACTGTCAAGTGACAAGTGAACTGGCTGTTGGGAATACATGAAACTCTTTCTAGAGATGAAGTAAAGTTGGTCATTCATATTTTAGGGATGAAAATATTTTCCCCATTAGGTGTGATTTGCCACCAAAAAGGCTGAAAAATGAAACACTGTGTAGTTGTAGGCATTGCGAAGGTCCCACTGGTGCATCGACTTACGCACGTAATAGCCATTCGGAAGGAGACGAACCGTGAAGTGTGACTATGCCAACAAATCTTTGCAGTAACGACGGAATGTTGGATTATTCAGCCATTATTTTCCTAAACGACCTTCAGTTTCTTCATAAGTTTAGTCAGCTGCATCTTACACGTAAACAAAAGCCCGTTACTATCACTTCCATGAATAAATAAACTCATAGACTATAGTGACTAGTGGTGTCAATCGGAACGGAATTCCGATTTTGTCCAATGTCCAATTCGGAATTCGGTTGGACAATGACAGCAGGCTTTGGACAACTTTGGACAATCGCTTGCTACACCTCAATATTTTTAAAAAGTAGTCGTGTTTAACATTGATTGGCTATTAGAAAGCTCAGCTTTAGATATGATTAACACTTTTGAGCTTGTAACGGTACATGAAAAGCAAATTAAATAACAGTGTTGAGTGTAAACTATTGCGTAGGTGTCGGACATCTTTGGACAAATGGCTGGCTTGGACATTTTTGGACGGACAATCAACGTAAGCATTGGACATTGGACGGACTTTGGACATACGTTTTCTGAAATTGACACCACTAATAGTGACGCCGCTTTCCCGAATGCAAGTACAAATTTATTTGCGATAGTTGCGTAATCGCCTGTGTTCCACACATAGCCTGGCCACCGGCCAGTCTCTCTGTCCAATGTGCATAGTGTCACCCTGTCACCCTATGACCCGGGGAATCCCAGCCACCCCACCACACACAACACACGTCCTCACGGCGGGGGAGGCATCTACCGGGGGACAGCACACCCTCCGAGCGAGTGAGGGGAGGGCTCCGGGTCCTCCCTCCGGTCCCCGGATCCGGTCCGCAATCCCGGATCTCCGGCGGACAAACACGGAGCCGGACAGCTTTCTCCGCGCGTGTGCAGTCTGCGCGCACAGTTGGCCAATCAGTTCTGTTGGAGAGCCCGCGGCGGCCGCGCGCGGGGTCAGTGTCAAGGCCGGAGAAAGGTCCCGTGCGCGCCACAGGTACGGAGATGAGTCAGAGCGTGCGAGTCCCCCCCCCCCCCCTTCCGCTCCCTGCACGGAGACTGGACATCGCCGGGCGAAAGTTCGGCAGGTCGTGATGGTTGAGCAATGAGCTGAGTTTGTCTTTGACCAGGTGGAGGCGAGCTCAGAGCACGTGCTGCAGAGCACGTTGGTTAGAGTTGATGCCCTGCTGGCTTCTCCAGTGCGGTGGTTGGATGAGTCCTTCGTGACAACTCGCGTCAAGTTGTCATTGGAACATTTATGGTAGGATTCGCCATTGCGTTTTAGCACCCCTTTTCCTTTTCATTTGCTGATGCGTATGCTCTATTTTCTTCGGTAACCGGGCTTAAATTGTTCGAAGGTTTTCACTTCGGTTTGAGCAAAGTGCTCGGATACTGCTAGCATCATCTTTGTCAGTGCAGATAGTTACGTGGCATAGTGAGTCAGTAAAAACGTAGGGGTGCGACAATCCTGGTACGCTTGTACCGAGTAGCGGTATAGTGCACTGCGATACGGAAAGGACTATGGAAGACAGAAGACAGAGGGGAACAACTCATTCCGATTGCAACCTTATCCTTTAGGTGGGCGCCTCAGAAAATCGGCCAAGGCTAAGTCGGTCAAAAATATCTTATTGTGATCCTTTTAGAAGAGATCGTTTTCCGTCCCACACTTGGGCAAAAGCCCGGATGTTTTGAACTATTTCCCCGGCAGTCAGGCACAACAGCCAAACGATCAATCACGCCGAGTGTTTGGGATCTCTGGATACGCCCAGAACCCATTCATTTAGCCCCGAACTGACGCACCACGCTGGTGAAAGGGCCTACTTTGTGAGGAGTTACTTGTAGATCATTGGGATAAACCTCATGATAGAGGTTTATCTTGGCCATCAGTTTATCAGTAGTTACTGTTCCCTTTTCGTTCCGTCCAAAAATGTGTTTGTTTGCCTATAACAGTGGTAACATTGGAACTTGGAAAGATTTTTTTTTTCAAACACTGAGCTTGTAATGCTTCCTTTGCGTGTTCTGTTTGACCGTTTTATGTTCTATGAGATACCTAATTCTGGTCGGTAGTCGGTATTGTTACACTCCACTCTGCCCTCAGCGTCGGCTCACTTATAGTGGCTGAGACAGCTTCGCATTCCGTATTACCAGGAGTTCTTTAGCCTCCGTCTAGTGTCTACAGCACTTGCGTGCAATGTGGTATGACCTTAACTTTGAAGGAGAATTAGCAACACTGCATTTGTTTGCAAATTCAGCATGATCTTGCGTTAAATTGAGTCGCTTTGAGCCACGATAAGAATGCCACGTGACGTGTTTACGTCATGCAATTTCTGAAGTGCAATGTCAGTTGCAATGCCCTGCTTAGATCAAGTCTACACTCTACATACGTGATTAAATCACGCTGGCACCGTGGTAGCTGTCCCGGGGATGCAACCTTCTCCTTGAGGTGTACGCTCTGAGCAAGCATATCGGCAGTTTATAAAGGATAACTCGGCCAATAGGGCATGAAGTAATAAAGCTACAACATCTCGAAAAATAAAACACGATACGAGTATAGCGGTTTGTCAAATCGGTTGACATCCAATTTGACCTTTCATTGACGGCTTTGTTACGCAGAGCTAGAAAATCGGTTTTAAGTTAAGCGTTAGGTAAATGTTAAAAAGCCCACGCAAGGAAACAATAAATTGTTTAACCCGCGCCGTGCTGGGGGGGGGGCGTTTTTACGCCCCCCCCCTCAGGTTTTTCGCGAATATCTCAAAAACGGCGGCGCGCAGCGCCGCCGTTTTTGGTACACGTGTTCCTACATCATTTCCGCACATGTTGTGAAAATTTCAGACCTAGGCCGTTCAAGGTCAGGTCACCAGGTCACGTCAAGTGACCTTACCTCAGAAAAAGTTCAAAGGCTCGCTATAGCTACACCGACTGAACGATCACTTCGAAACTTTCAGCGATTGATATGAGTAACAGTATGTATAAAATGTATATCTCGGATTTTTGATATCTGTGACCTAAGGTCAGGTCAATTTTGCGACCTCTCCATTATAAGTCAATGGGAGAAAATTAAATGCGCCTCTTTTGGACGAATATCGTTCAAAACGCTCTCAAACATCGGTTCATAGGTAAACATGTCACACTGAATAGGAAAAATGCACCTGTGACCCCTCTGTGTGCCCCTGAGGTCATCTCAGGTCATGAACGGTCGCCAGCAGTTTTTTGGCTATAACTTTTGATAGAGACGTGCTAGAGCGGTGAAAACACGTCAGATGTGTTCAGCTCGACGATACGGATCGACTGATATGCAACATGACCCTTTTCGGTCAGGTCATGACCTTGACCTGAGGTCAAATTTTCAAAATGACCTTTCAAGGTCAACAAATAGTTCATTCGACGCGTCTCGACGAGAGGAACACGATGCTGGCAAAAGTAATGTCATGGCGCTTATGAGTCAAAAGTTATTGACGAAAAAACGTTTTTCGTAAAAACGGCTATTTTTGGAGTTTTTGCCCTCTGGAGGCTAAACCGTTGACCTGAGGTCAAATCTGAGAACATTACTCAGAAAGGTCTGTAAAAGGGCTATCGAATGCGCTTTTCCGCGGCGCTGTAGCTCTATCGGTTCCCGAGATAGCCGTTGGCAGTTTCCAAAATGTTGAAATAGTCAACATTTTACCTTTGGTGACCTCTGGTGACCTGACCTTTGACCTGACCCAAAAAATGATCGAAGTGTTTTCGTCCTTATTTTTGACACTCTTTCGATTGCCGCTTACCGCGTGTCGCTACGTGGCCCAGGAGCCGAGTTAGACGGGGGGGGGCGTGAAAACGCCCCCCCCCCCCCCAGCACTCGGCGGAAAGTTCAGGCCACCAGCACGGCGCGGGTTAATATCGGAGACTGCATTTCTGCAAGCGGCAATAACACCAAATCGAGGGGAACTTCAACTAGGCTGAGGGAGTAACACCAAAGTGGCATACTGGCATGAGAGACGATGGGCGATGGCAACAGCAAGGAGAGCTGATTTTGGAAGTTGATCGGTGGCGATGATGATTTTGTGCAACAGCTGGCCAAAAACAGCATCATTATTTGAAAGAGTGTAGCTTAGGTATGTACCTACCATCACCTAACTATCCTCGCATATGGGAATCTGATCTTGAAATTTCCGAACACAGCCCCGAAGCGTGCTCAAATGCAATGATAACGCTCTCCTTTTATTAAATGAAACATTTACAAATAATAATAACAAAAAGCTTGAACCAGGAACAATGCATTTTATTGATAGGTAAGCCTGTCAGCGGCTATAGGACGCCTACGTTCCGAACCATAAAGCGGACTGGACTGTGGAGCCATTTTACTCGGGCTGGTCTACTACATATATATTCAGTTCGATGTATTGAATAGCAAATGGAGCTTGTGTAGAATCAGCTTACACAGTTTTACATACTTAGGTACCAACACTGCAGCAAAGCACTATCGTTTTCGAATTTGCCTACTGTATCTAACAAACGTAAATAGCATAAACGCAGCTGTCGTATTTACTCCCATGCCTTGCCTGGTCTTGAGGAGTGGCCGAGAGAAGCAACACGAATTAGCAGCATACGCTTTGCTTGCATATAAAGTAGATACATATGCAGGTGTGTAGTTCTTTTCGGATTCACAAATAAGTTGCATGTACTCAATAGACATAAAATTAAAGGAATTTTTACCTGTTCCTACTGCTAGGAAATATGATGATGAAAACACTAAAGGATTGCTGGGAACGTGACTAGGCATTCTTAGCTAATAAGTGACAATCTTATAGAAGGCCTGCTTAGTGCTTAACCCTCGCCGGCCGAGGGGGGGGGGCGGGTGCCGTCCCCCCCATACCATAGGGTTATTTCGCGATAGCTCCGAACACGCTGGCGATAGAGAGCTGTAACCTGGCATACCTGACCTTTGATCCAAGCCGCATCTTTTGACACCAACGGCATTTTTGTGTCAGGTCAGGTCACTGACCTATGACGTCATAAGTGAACCTCTGCACGGTCTTCAGATGTCGCAACTTCGCAACGCCCTCACTGCCAGAGGAGATGTCACAGGGAAATGAAACTTGCAGGATCTAGTATCCATTATGAGACTCACAACTTGTATATCTTGGATTTTTCCTAAAGGTCATATGAGGTCAGGTCATTTTCGTGACCTCACTATTATAAGTCAATGGGGAAAAATGAAAACTGCTATTCTGGCGCCGGGAACGATCTCCAACTATCTCAAGCACACAGACCCTTGCAGCTGCAACTTAAGCTATTGACATATACTTTTCGATCACTCCGCATTAAACAATCGCCAGTCAAAGCCAACCGTTGAGATTGGTAAAACCCTACATTACTTTAGCGGTGGGCTGTACCTACCCTACACGAAATTTGCTTTCTGTAATAAATATTGTTTATAAATTCGTGAGCTGGACCAGGGTGTCTGGAATATAGGTCTAGAAGACTGAGGAATAATGCAGATTATTAGAAAGATTCTACCTCAGTATGTCTTTGCGGTACAACGCCAAAAGACGAAATCTCAAAAGTCAAAACGGCTTTTTTCGTCAGCTCAAATCCATAGCCTTTCCTAGTCCTGACGCTCGCTGTTAAACGGTAATTACTACCTTCCTTTGGGGAATTCCTGGTCACGAGCTGCGGTATGCCGATCTGTGAGCCGGAAAACGTTTGTTGATCACGTGCAATTGTCTGCCGGGTGTTTCCTGCAGTATACCACCGTCCAGCGAAGGGAACGGACCGCTAGGTATAGCTCAGTGTAGGAGGCAGGACGCTGGAAGAAGGAACACACAGACGCCGGGATGGAGATTGTCTTGTTCTTGGAGTTGGTGGCTATTAGTGTGTTCATTAGCGGTGGTGTTGCGTTCAATTTCCACGAGCGTCAGACCCCGTGTCACGGCCCGGACGAGCGGTGTGTGCGGGTCATAGAGTGTGCCTCGTTCCGGACCAGAGAGGCACTGCTGCGGGCCCGACCGGTGACGTGTGGCTTCTCAGGAGCGATGCCTCTCGTTTGCTGCCCGGACTCAACTGTTGGGGCGGACTCGGCGCAGGATACGACCGGCTCGACTCCTTTGGAGCGACCGGCAGATGAGTCAGCGTTACAGGAGCCAGTAAAACCGGCGACATCAGGGTCGACTCAGTCGTACGATACAATTCATGATCGTGCACCAGTATCACCATCAGCTCCGGCGTCGACTCCAGCACCGCCACCTGGTCCGGTGCGTCTGCCGAAGACGGTGCAGCCACCACCTCTACCGTCTGATCCGTCTTCAGCACCGTCTGACCCCACTCAAGCCTCTGGAGCTCCCTCAGCAGAACCTAACACTGCCTCATCGCCGGAGGAGGACTCAGCGATCCTCTTCCCGTCCTCGTGGAGCGCCGCTCCGCCTTGGAAGGTCTCCCGTCCTCCCGTACCACCGGCGCAGCCAGCGCTGCCGGAGCGCTGTGGCGACCCGTACCGTGTGGTGCGCAGTACCAAGCGCTGGTCGCGCGGAAAGCTGGCCGCTGTGGGTGCTCACGTGGGCCGCTGGCCGTGGCTGGTGCTGTTCGGTCACTGGACGGACGCCGGTCTGGGCGGCTGGTTCTGCGGAGGAGCGCTTATTACCGATCAACACGTGCTGACGGCGGCGCACTGTATACATCCTGAGGAGGCCGGCACCGTGGGGGCCGTCATTGGCGACCACGACCTGCTGACGGTGGACGAGGTGCAACACCAGCAGCGGAACATCTCGCGCGTGGTGCGCCACCCGCGCTTCATCGGCGCGCAGAATGACGTGGCCGTGGTTCGCCTCTCGACCCCGGTGGAGCTGACCGGGGCAGTGTGGCCGGTGTGTCTGCCTCCGAGGCAGTCTCCGGTCACTGGTGGTCCGCTTTGGGCGGCAGGATGGGGCGCCACTCAGCGGGACGGTCACCCGGCCTCCGAGATGACCGACACACCACTCCAACTAACGGACCTGAACCGCTGCGAGGAGACCTACAGACGCACACCGCTGTTCGACGCACGGTTCCCGGGCGGTTTCCAGGGGACCAAACTGTGCGCGAGTCGCGTGGGCGGCGCGCCGCGGGACTCTGCCGCGTGTCCGGCCGACTCTGGCGGACCTCTGATGGAGCCCACTGAAGGAGACAGGTATCAGGTGGTGGGTGTGTGGTCGATAGGTATGGAGTCGTGCGGGACAGCTCAGTTCCCGGCCATCTACACACGGGTGGCCGCCTACACAGACTGGATCTTTGCTAATCTGACCTGACACGTGACTAACCACCGCACCGGGCGGTGGTTAAGCGATTTCAAGTGTGAGTGTATACTCGTAGGTAGGGGGAGGTAGGGGAGGTTGGGGGAGGGAGGAAAGCGTGGATAAAGCTGTCGTTGATTAGTCACTGGAATGCCTATACATGAATTGATTCCGATGCCTATGGTGTTCGACCTAGTATCGGAATAAACTTACGTTTCGCTAACCACATCCATATGGGAATCGAAATTGAGCAACGTTAGAGGCGAATTAAATCCGTGCTAGAAGAATGAAGCTCAAATTATAGCAGATCATGTCTCCTGACACGCATTTTCCTGTTGGTGATTCATTGATGGCTGCTCACGCAGACAATGCGATTTCATAACTGTCGTGTGGTTGCTATTATCACAATGTGTTGTCATCATGTCTTTGTAGTTGTACGCATTGTTTGTTGACTTTTCCTTGTGTAAAAAGTATAATATGTTTTCCGTCACTTGCTATCTTTTATGCTGCTCGACACATTTACCTTAAACAGCTAAATGAGCTACATTGTACAGATAGAGGAATCTCCGGAGTGTCAATTCTCCCACTATCTCTAAGCTGACTCATAGGGGTTATATGTGCGTCACCACCGCCCACTACTGCTCGAGTACTCGTGAGGTCACTATGGAGACTCACTCATCCCGAGGGCGAGGACACCTTACGACACCGCTGCACGGCGCGCATTGTTACCCTTCTCTGAATCCATCATTCAACCTCCTGCAGACCCTATAGTAACCACCGGTTGCACCCTGACAATGCCCTGCTCGGAGCCCGAGGTAGGGACACATTTTTTTTTTCGTTTTCAGTCACTCCGTTACATTTATCCCAAAGGATTTGTAAGGTAACCTGAGAGAGTTGGACCATTTCGCCCAAAAACTGGTTGCAACAATGCGACTGCTGCAGGCATGTAAGACAAATGACTGACCTGGCCTGTTTATCTATAAAAAATATAACTGGTGGATCTGCCACTGACAAGGACAGTTATACGAGAAGATGACACTGGACTGGACTGAGACTGATTTTGACCGACATGGGACTTAGACTGGATTTGAACTGGACTTGAATTGGACTTGGACTATACTTGGACTGGGACTGGACTGGGAGTGGACTGGGACTGGGGCAGGACTTGGATATGACTGTAATAGGACTGGGACTGGACAGGACTGGGACTGGACAGGACTGGGACTGGACAGGACTGGGACTGGACAGGACTGGGACTGGACAGGACTGGGACTGGACAGGACTGGGACTGGACTGGACAGGACTGGGACTGGGACTGCGCAGGACTGGGACTGGACAGGACTGGAACTAGACTGGGACTGGGAAGGACTGGGACTGGACAGGACTGGGACTGGACAGGACTGGGACTGGACAGGACTGGGACTGGACAGGACTGGGACAGGACTGGGACTGGACTGGACAGGACTGGGACTGGACTGGACTGGACAGGACTGGGACTGGACAGGACTGGGACTGGACAGGACTGGGACTGGACAGGACTGGGACTGGACTGGACAGGACTGGGACTGGGACTGCGCAGGACTGGGACTGGACAGGACTGGAACTAGACTGGGACTGGGAAGGACTGGGACTGGACAGGACTGGGACTGGACAGGACTGGGACTGGACAGGACTGGGACTGGACAGGACTGGGACTGGACAGGACTGGGACTGGACAGGACTGACTGGGACAGGACTGGGACTGGGACAGGACAGGACCGGCCGCGGTCGGTCGGTCGGGCGGCGGGGGCCGTCTCTCCGGGGAGGTGGGCCGGTACCTTTCGCCGGCGGCTAGTGACCCGATTCGCGCCGGTCTCCGCGCGCCGTCGCCGGTCCGGCCGGCCGGCCAGTGGTCTCTGTGGCCCCCAGCTGGAAAGTTGGGCCGTCTCCGGTGTCTGGCGCACGCCGCACGTGCCACTGGTCCACAAACGGGGAGCGAGCGACGCGCTCTCTCGGCCGCGCCCGGTGAAGGGTGCCACTGGGACGCGCTGGACAGAGGCGATGGTCGCTGCGCGCGAGGTGCTGCTGTGCTGATCGGTGTGAGAGGGGAGATGTGAGAAGGGTGAGCGTCCGAGAGAGATCTTCGCAATGGTATCAGCACTGGATTTTACATTAGGTGAGTAGAAACCGGCGATTCGCGTCATGTCTTCAATGCGATGCTTCTGTGGATGCCGATAGGTCAGGTCAGTCTAAACAAAGCATCCTGGTTTGCTTTGCTCGCGAAGGCTTTCGTTCGCGCATTGTCTGAGTGCAGCCAGCATCTTTTGAGCTAACGCACTCGTATTACCCTGGCTTTCATGTATCTGCGATCTCAGTTGACTAGTGAGGGCCTACCCGTAGTGTTTTGCTTTTTGGTTCCGATTGATAAATATGGAAGCCATATTAGTCAATAGAGGCATATTCGTCTTATTTTAAATATTTATTCACTTTTTTTTACATTTCCTCTAAAATCCTGGTAGGAACTGAATAGTGAGTGATCACTTTTAGCACAAAACATAATGAAACGTTCGTTTCATTCAGGAATTTTTCGTACGCATAGAAATACTCGCAACACTCTCGCTTCACAGTTCAGTTTCTCAGCCAACAATGTAGCAGCAGTATATTTTTGAAACAATACCTAACCGTTGCGTTTTCAACAATTCGACGACTTGCATCATGACCGCTTTGAAGTCTTTGTGTGGAAATATCCTATGAGTTCAACAGTCAACACTTCTCTCCCCACTCCACCCAGACTCAATGTCCCAGCACCGCCGCGCCGGTGTCGTATATCGAAGATCACGTGCTCTGCTCTGGCCTGGCCGGTCCGGGGAGGGGGAGAGGCGGGGAGGGGGGCGGCTGCTGCTCACCAGTCGGCGCCGTTCTGATTTCTCTGCTGCCACAGCCGCGCTCGACGAGAGATCTCTGATCGGCCATGGCTGATACAAGGGCTGGCCCGAATGCACTGCAGAACGTGCAGTATCGACTCGCAGCAGCTGCATTATACTGCACATGAAACAGCTGTGGGAGATTGGGAAATGCAATAGATTTGAACGTATTCAATCCGAATCTGAATGTATAATATCCATAAAATATGGCTTGTTGGAAAACATGCAGAAAGGGACATGCGGTTTCTAGAGATGTTTTTCCAGGTACAGAAACAAGAAACGAGAAACGGTTTCGCTAGAAGGTAGCCAGCGGAAAATCGCTGGAGAAACTTTTCACGTTTATCATTGTGGACGTCGAACCGTTTCTCTGCGCTGCTGACCGCTGCATACTGGACCAACACAATGGAGTTCACGACCTCTGCCTCGGTGCCGCACAGTGTGGGCAGCGTGTGTAACGGAGACGCCCCGTGACCGTACGCATTGTCGTGTTTGAATGGTGCACGGGGACTAAATGAACAGCCCACGCGCCGTCCCGGCTGGGAAATGACCAGGTAATTGCTGCTGAAGCACTGAAGCCCACCTAAGTGAGGTGATAATAGTGTAAAACAGAAGAGTGTGCTTGTCGAATATGGCGATAATTAGACGGTCTGGAAAGTTGAAGACGCATAGGAGATGTTCAAACGAATCCTACGAGATATTTTGCGTCATTTTATAAAATGGAAAAGTAAGCAACAACAAATTACAATGTACGGCCTCCAGCAAAAGAGTGGTTGGTTAGCCTATGTGCTTTTGGTGTAATAACTTTGAATGACAGAGATACTACTGTAAAATTACTCAATAGAAATGAGAAGAGAGTTCGTGCACACACTTCGGCAATGGTTTTCAACAGCCATTGGACGTATTCATCAATGCAGATCGCTTATTGTGATGTTGGCAGCCAACCACTAAATAGTTACCTGAAGGGCCGTAGCTTATTTCCAAGTAATTGCTTATTATGATACGAATAAAGTGGCACCAAACACATTTTACTGTGCACATCCGATCCAAGAATTAAGTTACTATGAATATGGCACTAAAATGAAGGAGATATGACTATGCCCGTTGAAGTGTGCGATATAATAAATCAGCAAGAACATGCATGCTAGCATAACTTCAGACATGAACAATGGCCGTGGTTGCAGAAATAGAATAGCATATTTCAGTTTTATAAACTGCTTATGCCTAATCAATTTCCTCAGTTACTGGCAAGCGTCGGGCGTTTCGAATTGTTAACACATTAACATTGTAGTAACACACTTGCATTATATGGTCACGGTCCTTGAGCGAAAGTGAACTCACTGCCGTCTTTGTGTGGCTTCCCTGGACCAGCTGAGCGAGAGCTGACTCCGACTTCTTTGACTCATCGGTCGCTGACCTGACAGGCTGTCATACCCTGGGCCATCTAGGAGTTGCAATCCGTCTGGTTTACGAGACCACGAATCCGATGCCTCATATACGGTAAGGAAATTGATCATTTCATTTTATTCAGAGAACGCTCGAGATTGTCTTCACTGTGAAGCATATTACTATAATTTTAGGTAAAGCAATGCTTTTATTTCAACGGTGAATTTCCTTCCATATAGTAGGTAGTAAGGTGGTATATTTGTATAGAGTTAGCGAACTGAGATTTATCTTCTCCATCAAACCCTCAACACCATAGAACGTTTGGATTCATGCAACTTATCAGGACGGCTGACTCATAGTAACCAATCTGATTCAGCACTATATAACTAGTATGCCTCCCTATAGTCTCACCGGGAGAAACTGTGTGCAATAGTGACCGGTCGGTCGGCTTTCTCAGTAGCACGTGATGGCGCTAAGCGGTACTAAGCGTCGCTGAACAGACGATGACAGTGTGGTCCGTAACGGACAATGTCGTCTTCTACCGGCGGGATGAGTGTGGTTACTACATAGTGGCTGAGATACCTCTGACTTTGGGACATCCGACATCGTGTTCGAGTTTCATGGTAATGTCTAACTGCAAGGCGAAAGTTACATGCTTTGGCCGTTTGTTGCTTGAGAGTTTTCGTCAGCAAGATTCAACTTTGAGTTTTCTGAATGCACCTTTTCTACTCTTTTCAAACAGCCTGCCGTTATTAGTTAATTGCTACGGTAATTCCTCAATGCCTTTAATCTGGACGTTGGTTATTACCTTGTCCTCGATGTATTCTGCACTCTCGCTTTACTTATGCTTATCAGATGAAAACACTTGATTACTTTTGGACGCCGCGTATCCAAATGGGATTACTGTATCTCCCTTCCAGTCCAACCCCTGTGTGTCCGCAACAGTCCATGGTTGCCAAAGTGTGTATCCGGTGTGAGGCAATGGGACGTGTGTGTGTGTAACATCCGGGCAGTGAGCGGAAATGCTTTCATCTAAACATAGCTTATGTCACATTTGGGACATGTTAACATCCGGCCCTTGAGGATGTGTGCTTTCATCAAAATATAGCTAGATGAAGGGGAGATAGGGAGTGAAGGAGTGGTAAATGGACGCATTGACGGATAAATGGGTTAAAATGGGGCGCAACGGGATCGATCTTTCATCCTTGTCTCAGGAATGAGTCACAGAGTGGCATAATATCAAAACAGTATTACAGCGGTACGCTATAACGTACAAAATGCACCTTAATGCCCGACATGGATGTTATGTGCATACTTCCATGGAGTGAACCGTCCGCTGCTGCAAGTATCGATCTACCTGCATTATTTCGTCTGTTGGGTTATTGCGGCTGGAAAATGTCTGTTTTCCGGTAAACGCCGGTGTTTACCGTTTTACAGTGACTTGCATTGCGCCCTCACGACGTCCTTGTTCTGAATGGTCATGTAGCCTTGTTTTCCTGGATAGCCGCTGAAAAAATGACAAATTAGACATGTCCGCTCCTATCTTAAAAACAAGCACCTTTACACACTGCACTCCCTGCCTGTTATGTTTTGCTACGGCCGAGACCGACGCAAAAAATAGAAAGAGATCATTTACCAATACCATTGTGAAGACGACTAATCGTCAAAATCAGTATACAACGACATTATGCGAACGTTTTTTCTCAGGCAAACCGTCTGGCGTCTGCATATCGGCAGTATATGATATTTCAATTGTCATGGTATGTCACCTGCGTTTGTCAGTTTAATTATAACAGGTTATTTATTTACCTATTGAGGTTATTAGCGTAATACAAATAACAAAGGCACCTTTCCAGCCACAAGACAATGCCCAGGCAATTGTTTCAAGGCGTCAGTGTTGGATCGATAGAAATCGGGCCACACAGTCTCGTGGCCGAGTGCCGACCAACTTAGGCATGCTTGGGTGGCGCGTGAGGACGTTTATATCGTACTTCCGTCCGTGCGCTCACGCACGCTCCGTGGACCGCCGGCGGGCCACGCGTTTCCTCGTCTTCCGCTCGGGCGCCGGCAGTGACACAGATCTGGGCGATCGGGGACCGATCCGGCACGGCACGAGCTCCGTAACACCGCCAGGGCCGGGCCTGGCCGGCTCACCCAGCCTCTGCAACCATCAGCGAGGCTGCAGCCAGCCATGCCGGGTCGCTATCTCACCGTAACGCGCACCGATCACCAGCGCAGTGTGCCACGCACCATCGGCGCGCATACCATGCATCGGGTCAGACCGGCCTGACCAGGCCAGGCTGGGCCGGCGGCCCCGGCCCGGCCCCGATCTCACTTTCTATGCTCGGTAAGCGGCCAACACCTGTCCGCCGCTGGGCAGACGGGTCTCAGCGCGCTCATCGGTCCATCTGGCCAGACCAGTCCGCCGCCCAGTGTGTCAGAGGTGTGTGACGTCACGGATTGCCCCGGGGCAGTACTGAGGCGCCGGTCAGTCTGGTCGAGCGCGGCCAGATGCGGTCTGTCCCGCTACTATACCGCCGCCATCGGCTTCCCAGCCGCCGCCGCATAGCTGAGACACCGCCCGCCCACCGCCCAGCCGTCGATTCTGGTGGGTCCAGGGCACTGGGCGTGGTCCCTGTATCGCACCGACTCCAAAGGAGATTTTCTCGATGTAATATGCGGAGCATGAACATTGAACATTGAACACACTTGAAACGAAACAAGTGACGAATTTGCAGTCTGCACTTGCAGTGCAGTGGTGTTATAACTTACATAGTTTCTTGTGTTTCAATTGTAGTTCCCTATTTTGTTCCGAACTTCCGGAACTATAGCTTCACGGCAGCGGAACTGATATGTCTTTAGCTGATTCGAAGTTATCAAATGACCGTAACCAAAGCTCGGCTGAAAGCAAAGTTACATATCATAATCCCAATTACCGCTTTTGGAACTCGTTTCCTTTCTATCAGATTCGCGTCACCTGAAAGCCCGAGCTGTCAGTGACACTGATGACGAAGAATTGATTCTCACTCCCTCGGCCTGCTGAGTCGTGATTAGCTGGCCTCCACTTCAATAGAGGCCACTTTCGATAGCGGTTGTCAAGTGGTCTCTCACTCTCCTACTCCTCTCTCCCTCTCTTTCCAATCCCGTCCCTATTTCTCTTCTCTCTCACACTCTCATTCCCCATCTCCTTTTCCATCCCTCTCTTTCATTTCCTCTTTCTCCTCTCTTTCTCCTCTCTTTCCCTTTCTCTTTCTCTCTCTACCTCTCTCTCTCTCTCTCCCTCTCTCTCTCTCTCTCTCTGGCTCTCTCTCTCTCTCTCTCTCTCTCTCTCTTTCTCTCCATCCCCCCTCTCTCTCTCCGGCCTTGACCGGGCTCGCACCGGTCGCCTGGGTCGTCCGGGGTGGTCCTGCCGGCTCCCACTCCTCCCCCCCCCACACCCTTCCGTGACCGGTGAGCCAGTGCCTGCTGATTTCCAGAACAGCTGGCTGCCTCGTCAGCCTCGCCCCGAACCGGTGCAGCGTGACAGATTAAGATATGATCCGATTAATCCCAAGAGCTAATTTCTAGCCGTGAGTGGATTGATGTGTCTTGATAAGCTGATGATGTTGTATGAGGAGAAATGGAAAGTTGGGTGTGAAACGATGAGCGATTTCTTATAGAGAAGGTTGACAGCCGGGCCCGTTGCATTGCTCCACACACGCCGTATACACTGATGCAGTATCGTACGGAAGACATAACCAGCGCCTGCACCAGCGTAGCCAGTGTCTCTCTCGGGAGGGCGTGCCGGCAGTGACACAGCCCACTCAGAACACCTGTGCACCGGCGCGCCACATCAGTCACGTGATCGATGAACGTGAGGCTCTGGTCAAACGCAACACCGAGGTATTCAATAGCACTTCTCGAAGCGATCTTTTCGTGTGCATATGACTTGTCATGCTTTGGCAACGAGGCGATGCGTAAGGTGAATACAGTATACCTATACCCATAGTTACTCATTCGAGTGTCTCTTTAACGCATAGTTCCGATTGAGACATCGCTGGTGCCTGGTGGAGACTGGAGAGCCCAGTCGCTTTAATCGAACTGTTCGGGGAGAAATTCAGTTCCATCAATCACGATCGGACTGGGGGGTACACATTCCGCTTGAACAGCAATGCTGATTGATCTAAAGAAAGTTTGACAAATATTGCGCAAGTGAGCGTTTAACGCTGTACATAGAACGTGTCGTGCAAACGCCGATTGGAGATCGCATTACCCTTGGAGCTAAGACTTTATAGGTCTCAGAGTGAATGCTCGCTTTGGCACTGACTGATCCAGTATGACAAGCGTTCTTATCAGCGAGTCAAATGAGCATAGCACCAGTCAAACGCCATGTCCAGTGTTCGAAATCCGTTTATCATTAATTAAGTTGAAGACTGATACAATGCATAGTGCCAGCTTCCGATCATTTGTTTGGATCAGTTATGCTATTATCTCTGTTGTAGACGCGTTTGACTGTCGACATGTCCATGACTCGAGATCGCCTGTGAACATGGTGTAGTAGAAAGCAGTAAACACACTGATGTTAATTTAAAACTCAGATCTCAATCAAAACCGTTTAAAACTTAGATCTCAATAAAAATACCTATCCTTTCAAATTCTCACAAAAGCGCAATTATAAAAAGCTGACATTAATCAATTACAGCTTGCTTCAGATGTGGGAAGGATAAATGTCTTATCGTTTTTCGCTGACGTTACGTTTTTTTTTTTCAGGACCATGGAAGAAGAAAGCCTGCCATTCGAGAGAGTTACAATCAGTGCTGTTGGCCGTGTTACTTCACATTTCATTAGCGCAGCGTCCATCACCACCTCCCGGGTATTACTCATATCATCACGACGGCGCGGCGGGGTCGCCATGGTCCGGCTACGTCACACAGCGCGACCCGCGCGCCATACGTGAGTACCGAACGGCAGGCTGCCATTGTAACACTCTTGTATATCCTGAGATGTGTTGCCAACGCATCGAGCGAAAGAAAGTGAAAGTTCCCGTTAGTCTGGTTACACCCCACCCAAGCTCGCTCTTTCTGCGTTCCCGGTTCGTTAATTAATTTGAGATAGGACGAGGGCTCTGGGAGAATGTAGCCGTATGTGTAGTGTGTACTGGTGTGACTAGTGTCTAGTGAGGTTATCGCCGACTTCCTATACCCGCCTAGTCCTGTTCTGATGTAATCATGCACCATTCGCTACAGCTTCCTGTCCAGCCTAGTTCTGCCATTCACTTTGGCCCGTTCCGACACATTTTCCGATCCCTTCGGAAAGTGGCCATTCTGACTACACACTCTCAAGCTTTCTGTAATGACCGGTCGTGACCCTGTCAACAGTCATGATGCACGGAGACTCGATGTGACTCACGATAGTCCACGGTTACACAGGGTGACCCATGGTGACCTAGTGTGACCGCCGGTGACCCATGTGACCCATGTGACCCATGCGATCTCTCTCCGTCCCACAGAGGGTCAGCAGATCCGACCACTGCCGTGTCGGACGACCACCGGCGGTGTAGGTGTCTGTATGTTCGTCTGGGACTGCTCGAAGCGCGGCGGCACCGCCGTCGGCATCTGTACCGACAGGTTCATGTTCGGCGGCTGCTGCGAACTGCCCGAGTCGCCGCCGCCGCCGCCACCGACGGCCAGCCCGGCCGCAGGCGACGGCTGGACGTCGCTGCTGCAGCCCGTCGAGCCGATGCCGACGCCCATGTCGTTCGTCGGCGTGCGGCCGGTCCTCATCGGTGACGATGAACTGAACGAGGTGCCGACGGGGCCGGTGACGACGGACCGGCCGCGTCCCACCACGCTCTGGGAGCGGCCGACGCGACCGACGCGACCGCCACCGCCGCCGCGCAACACTGTGACAGCGGGGAGCGCGGCGGTGACCGTCCCTAAAACGACGACCACCACGACAACTACAACCACCACCACTACACCTACCACCACCACTAGACCACCTACAACAACCACAACAACCACCACCACAACCACTACACCTTCCACTACCATCACTACCACTGCCAGCACTGACCCAGTGCCGGACGAAACACAACCCGACGTCTCGACACCATGGCCGCGTCCCACTCGGCCTACGCGACCCCCGCGGCCAACTGTGGTCACTGGGACCCTACCGCCGGAGAGCAGTCCCAAGACAGAGCCTCCGGCCACCCTCAGCGCCGTAACCAGCTCCAACGCCACCGGAAAACAGCCAGGTAAGGTACCGCGACGTTTGACGGAGATTCTTGATTGAGCTGGGGCTAAATGATCATGAAGGGTCAAATGCGTGACAGGAGTACCAAAGGATCATACAATGTATCTATAAGTACTAGCTAGTTGAAATCGCCAAAAAAGCGTCGCATAAGCAACATTTGCTCTTATTTATGGGTGTTTACTGTTTAATGCATCGAGAGGCGCTTATTCAGAAGTCTTTAAATTCCGAAATACATTTCATAAGAAATTTCAAGCTACGTGATACAAAATATTTAGGTAAATGCATGTCCAAAGCATTTTGTCCCTCTCTACCCCCCCCCCCTCCTCCCACTCCCGCAGAGTGCGGCGTGCCGCCCCTGTTCCCGCTCGGAGACGGCTCGGGCCCGCTGAGCCGGATCGTGGGCGGAAGGAGCGCCCCGTTCGGCAGCTTCCCCTGGCAGCTGTCCGTGCGACGTACGTCGTTCTTCGGTCTCAGTACCACCCACCGGTGCGGCGGCGCACTGCTCAATGAACAGTGGGCCGCCACCGCCGCGCACTGCGTCGACGAGTGAGTACCAGTAGGAACTTGATGAAATGGACGACAATGAAGCCATGAGGAATGTGATTATTGATTAAAACGCCTTTTTATTTGGTAGTTTCTGTCGGAATATGGGCAGAAAGTAAACACTTCAATGATTTACAGTGCGTAATGAAATGTGTCAATTGTCAGGCTTATACAACGTATAGGGTAGGGTACTCGTGTATAACGTGTAGGTTAGTCATTTATGTATAACGATAGCCTTGTCTATTGAACCCTCTACAAACAACGTCCAGTGCCTTCAGTCTAACCAACCCCAAACCCCGTTCCTGCAGTCTCTTGCTGGCCCAGATCCGAATCCGTGTCGGCGAGTACGACTTCGGCTCGCTGAAGGAGCCTCACCCGTACCAAGAACGCGGGGCGCTGAAGAAGATCGTCCACCCCAAGTACAACTTTTACTCGTTCGAGCACGACCTGGCCCTGGTGAAGTTGGACCGGCCGGTGGAGCTGGCGCCGAACGTGTACCCCATCTGTCTGCCGGGCAATGACGACCTGATGGTGGGAGATAATGCCACCATCACCGGCTGGGGTCGGCTCAGCGAGGGCGGCATCCAGCCGGGCATCCTGCAGCAGGTCAGTGGGGAGATGGGAGCAGTGGGGAGAGGTTGGAAGGGGAGATGAGGAAGACAGGGGCGGAAACACGAATTAAATGGTAGACGACATGCAAAAGGTAGACAATGGATGATAGACTGACCAACGGATAGACGGATAAACAAATAGATGGATGGACCGATAGGCGAATCAACGAATATATCGGTAGAATATGGACAAAAAGACGGTAGCCTTGAAGGCAAGCATATAGAAAGGATGAGACTGAAAGCACGGAAAGTCGATGAGACGCGAGACGGGCGGTGGTAAAGAGAGAACGGGTGATAAAGTGTCCTTATGTGATACTGAGAGCAACAGGCAATGCAAATTTAAAAAAAATTGTCAATTGTCATAATTTTAGGCAATTGTCAAAACTATGACTATTGCCAAAAATATGACAAAAGTAGTTGTGCAACTGTCATGCTTTTAGGGCGAACGCATGAGTTGGGCTGGTGAACGGTGACCTCATATAGCGGCCTTGTAGTGTGTCACAGACTGTGATGCGTCATAGAGGAAATTAGCGGAAATTCCTGTTGTGTACAAATCATACTTTAGCAGCATTGCTGATGGCCTATTATTTCGTAACTGGGTTGCTCATGGCATGATTCGTATGAAACTGACATTTCTAGCAGATAGTTTGTTCTATGTGCATCCAAAAATCTGTCAGTCAGCGCATTGCAAGTCGATCTATCACGGGTTGTACAGATCGACCCGCAAGTGGCTCATTTTAGCGCGTTGCGCTTGCGGCGTGCATGGGCGTACAGGGACACTGAGCCGTGGCTGACCCACTGCGAGCCTATGACGTCATAATGTCCCGCCACATGACCTTGTGCAACCACATCCGCAACGCGTCGGAGGCACGTGACGAAACCGGGTCTCCGTGTCAGCTGGAAATGGGAGGGGGGGGGGGGGGGCTCCAGGCAAACAGGACTCCGGGTAGATTGAAGAGTAAGGAGGGCTCCGTATGGGCAGACTGTGGGGGGGGAGGGGAGAGTGGACTTGGGTAGCACAGCACGCATGACTCTGCGTGGGATATAACAGCCTCCCTGTTCCTGGGTGCTGATGGAGCCGGAAGGTAGCTACCTGCCAGTTTTCCTGTGGGATTGTTTCACTCGGCACTCGCAGATATTAGGCCAGCTGTGTCAGTCATTGCGGTAGCATTGCTTCATCACTGCCGCTTTCCGTGATTATTTGATTCAATATGAAGGTTATATGCATTCCAGGGCGCTTAGTGTTTCATAGAGATCCTGTATAGAAATCCGGGATATCTAATAAGACATTTTTGTCGAAAGAAATCAAAATTCCTGGAAATGCGACCCACTGATGTTTTCCGCAACAGCAGAGGCAGTGTACATTTTGTCTGTCTATGCAAGGCAGGTGTCATCTGCCTTAACATTTCTTCTTTCGCTATTCCAATGGAAAGTCCGCTAACTATATCGTGTGTCCGCGATAAGCTCACGTCTCTCTACCGGTTTTAGCAGATCATCCTTTCTCGGGCATTGTCTGTGAGATTGCCTTTCGTGGAGCCGACCTGGAGGTGCTCCAGTGCATAATGCTGGCGCAGTGGGTACACTTTCGCCCCACTCTGTCGGGCTGTTGCACAATGACTGGCCGCCGACACGATCGGTTCACATCTCACTTTCGAGGGGAAAGTTTTGATTATATCGAGCTCAAACTCCCAGGCATATCAGGATGGCGGGGCTGAATTTGAAAATCAGACACCCATCTGTCAATGAAAATTTACCTTACCAGTATAACGCCTTTTGGGGCGACTAACGGAGCGAGCGAGAGGGTGGGCCTTGCACGTGCGAAATTGCGAGGGGGTACCTCCAACTGACTTGTGCACGGCACCCTACTAACTGGTCTCTAGCGATGTGCCAAATTTGGGCACAATCGGCCCAGCCGTTCTCGAGTTCTGGAAGCGGCACCCTGCACGTGCGCACGTGCAAGATGGGTCCCAACTGACTTGTGCACGGCACCCTACTAACCGGTCCCTAACCGTGTACCAAATTTGAGCGCAATCGGTCCAGCCGTTCCCGAGATCTGGAAACGACCCCTGCACGTGCGCACGTGCAGCAGCACCCCAACTCTGGCACATGTATATGCAGTGCCTAGTGGGTGCCTACCTACATGCCAACTTTCAGCGCAATCGGCCAAGTAGTTACCGAGATATTGCAACAATTACAAAATTGACACCTCTTCGTTTTGCACGTGGCACGTGCATAAGGGGTCACCCACATGCATCGGGAATAGTCCAATACTTGGTAGAAGGAATGAAGCTACCCTACAAAAATTACCGCGTGTAAATCGGTCAAGTGGTTGCTGAGCGCCTCGCAAAAGCGTGACCACGGCCGGCCGGCCGGCCGGCCGGCCGCTCATACTCAGAAATTTCCGTTAATCTAAGGAAAGACTACGCTCGCTTCGCTCGCTCCGTAACCATAAAACGTTATGTTCGTTCTAAGCAGCTATAGAAGGTACAACATTGGTATACATTTTGGGTATGGCCTAAACAATAGCAACGTTTAGGTATGAATGCTGGCTGTCGCACATTTGTAATCAGTTGTGTGTATTAATTCTCTCGTGCCGACTGTTGCAGGCCACGGTACCCATATTGGAAAACAGCAAGTGCAAGAACATGTTCAAGAAGGCTGGTCGCGTCGAGTACATTCCAGACATCTTCCTCTGTGCCGGATATGAAAAAGGAGGAATCGACGCCTGTCAGGTATGTGCAGCTCTAATGTATAAACACAACATTGAACATCAAACGCGTCGTAATACACCACCGCCGGATAATGGCTTTCTTATAAGGGCTATTTTCGTCCCATGAAACAACTCTTCCACTCAAATAACACCTTGTCACCACGCCGGATCTCTGCAAGACAGTCCGGAGACTAATCCGATGAATCGTCACCTTCGTTAGCGTCTCTGACATCCTGTGCCGCGGTGTCAGACCGCCGGCGTCCCTGTCGTCGCGGAACGTAGACAGTATGTATGTGTCTGCCTGTCGGTGGACGTTTCTCTTTCTCACGCCGGGAGGTCTGGCAGCCCGTGAGAAGGTTCGTTGAACGCGACTGGACCGGCCGCGCACCGTGTCAGCGTGTCAACTCATGAGTGGAAACTCGATTCCGGTGTCGTTTAGCTTGATGAGTTGGGTGTGTTCATGGCGAGCGTGTGACTTTTCATCAAGGCGTATTTATCTTATAATTGCAAACTATTTGAAGCTAAGCACGTGCTATTTCTGGGCACAGTGTTTCAAGCGTCACGATCTGGCCGGTAAAAGTGAGCGAGCGCGAGCTTTTGGTGTCAGTCGGCGCACCAGCCGGAACCGCCCGAGTCAGTCACGGTCGTTTGTGCTGTCGGAACACGCGAAACTCAGAGTTACGTCAGATAATTATTACGTCATCGGGAGCAAAGCGCGGACTATAGCTTTGTGCGCCCCTCTCCTCTGCTTCCCTGCTCCCGAATCATGTCACTGTCATGTCAGAGTTGTGATGACAGCTGTCACCGCTGCTCTCTTCTGTCGCAATCGAGACGATACTTATACTTACATCATAGTCGGAATGAATATCATTTGATAAACTGCCCACCGGATGTGCGGCAGGTATATTTTCAATACGTTAAAGCCTCTGCCTTTCGATCCTGGAATATATACCCCAAAGAGACGGCCTTGATGGGGCTCAATGCTCCACACATACGGCGCAGCGGCGCTGCCAGTGGGACGGTACGGAAGGGCACCGGACAGCCCGGGTCTCCCACCCGCCCTCCGCCGTCTCTCACCCGGTGACCCAGTATCGCCACTCTCGGTTTCCGCTGCTCACAGTCGCCGTGAGAGCGTCACGCCGAGCCGGCGAGTCGAGTCGCCCGGAGAGCTCGCCCGCACCGGCCAAACCACTCAGTCAGCAGGCTCAAACGCCCGGCGAAAGTAGCCGATCGACTGCACTGGACGCGAATTGATTCAGTGACTGTGCGGTTGTCCCTTTCAGTTGCTAGGAACGATCTCTTTGAATGAGAGAAAGGATCGAGCCTGTCTAACAAGGCAATTATCTTTCATATGTGAAGCAGGAAAACATTTACACGCTTTGTACCTTTAAAGACTTTCTTCAAAAGTTACCCAATAAGAATGTAGTATGTACCCCAGTGATAAAATGCATAACTAGCCAGAATATTACCACTAGCATTACAACATTACTAGTCATATTTTCCTGGTCGGAAGTTAATCAACAGTAAACTTTCTCCATCGAGTGGGTCATATTGTCCTCGTGCGTGTCGCCTGATCTCATAGTGATTAGTGGCGCGGATGAGACGTGACGCCATCACGTAATGGCGCGGTCCAGTGTGGTCCCTTCCGCCCACTAACCCAGTTTGGAGGTGGGCGGCCGCAGCCGCGGCAGACGGGCGCTCCCCACCGCAGAGCAGCCGGCTGCGCCGCGCCGCACCGACACTCAACATAGCCAGCACAGTTCCCACATTACGGCCCCGCCCGGTAAATAAATCCAGACAGTCCACTTATTGAATGGGACGGAAGGCCGTTTAGACCAGACCGCCGAGTCTGTGGGGATGGGTAAATCAACGATAATTGTGTGCTGGCGGGTGTCGCCGGACGGGTTATAGCATAGTCCCAGTGACCTCTGTGACCTGGCCCACATGGAGGTCACTCCGCAGACTGAATCGGAAGGTTAATGGTTCATTCAGTGAGCTATGATTTCATAGATCCGATTCGCTCCCTCGCTTCCGCTCTCGCTGGCTTCAGCTAAACACCGAAGCTGATAATTTGATGTGCTGACAACGCGACCCTGTACTCATTATTCAACTGCCTTTAGCTGCCTTCAAAAGCCCTTCATCTGCTAGTCTGTGATGACCCCTACTGACCTGACCTGACCCCGTTCCCTCAGGGCGACTCTGGCGGCCCGCTACAAGTTCGAGGGAAGGACGGCAGATGGTTCCTGGCCGGCATCATCAGCTGGGGCATCGGCTGCGCAGAACCCAACCTGCCCGGAGTCTCTACTCGCATCTCCAAATTCACGGACTGGATCCTGGAGCAAGTGACCGCCTCCGACGCGTGACGCGCCGGACGTAACACCGGACGTGTCGCCGCCGGACGTGACGTGACGACGCACGCCGTACGTGACTCTGAAGGACCGGCGCCGCGCCTGCCAGTCTTTTTGCACACAGTAACAGACTCGCGTTAATGTGCGTAAAAAGCGAAAGTGAAACGGGAAAAGTGCGCGCTGTCGGCCGTGAGGCGTATGACTGCGGCCACAGCCAGCGGAGCGAATCCGTGACCCGAGCTGGAACTCTCTCCGGAGCGCGCTCCGGTGTTTTTACTCAAAGTACCGCGGTCTGAGCCGGGACTCGGCGAATGATCGGACCGCAGTGTAGTGTGTGTCAGAAGAAGGTGAGCTCTGGAAGCTCTCCTTGGAGTGGGTTGGTGCTGGTTCACCAACCAGTGCCGCGCCGTGGAGACGCACTCGGTGCTGCCACGGCCGGCGGCACCAGAGCTTTATGGTGTATCTGAGCAGCGTATGATCGTCGAGCTTGTGTTTTATCGTGTGTTCACCAGCGTGTGTTTACTGCCGAGTGTGTGTATGTGTGTTCATTACGCCAATGTGCTGTGTCTGACTCGCCCTGTCCTACGCATCCCACGTGACTGCCCAACGCGCCGGGTATCGGCGTCCACGGAAATAAACGAGCTGTTTTATGGAGAGCCGGCGTGTGCTCTCGTTGTGGCCGCCCGGGGCGCGGCACTCTGTGAGACGCCACGAAAGTCGAGCTGTGTGGGACGGGAGCCGCCGAGCGCTCTGTTTTCTCGGATGGAAACTGGGCCTGACACTGGGCGGCCCGCCAACACACAACTCCTACCTCTCGGACGGAGAATCACAGGTGAAAATGAAAGACGGTCCTGATTTTTTAGTCACTGACGATAGGCATTCGAAACCTTAACTAAAGTTTAAATTTATGAGTTTTAGAATCCGGCTATCATCAACATTCCACGATTTAGGCTCAGAAGTATGCAACGCACTCAACAGAGGCAAGGAACATAAAATGGAGACTGCAATTAGTTACGAAACCGAAGCAATGCGAAACGAGTGACTGCAACGGTGCACGAAACAATAGCACGGCGGATAGTAACTGAATCACCATATGCATAGTGCACTCCAAAAATATAAAACTGCAACAGTCCGCACGGCCGTAGTACCAAACTTGGAGAAAAAGACTGCAACAGTGCACAAAACGGTAGCACCAAGAGCGGAAACTGCAGCAATGCACACGGCGGTAGCACCGGGGCACCATGGATAGGAGACTGCAACAGCGCAGCGCAGGCCATTCTTATAAAGAAAAGAACGGAGGGACGCTCCGTCATTTCTGAGATTAGACGGAATTTGGTTATCATAAAAGGACGAAGACGAAAGACGGAACCCGTTAAAAGAACGAAGCCAGATTGACGCTACCCCCACCCAAAAGGACGCGTTTCCGTATCATAAAGAGACAAAGACGCCTCTGGTGACGTAAGACTTTGCGTTGTTCGTGAAAAATAACGCATCAGAAATAGCGCTGCTCTTCAGCAGCGCTTTTTTACAGCATTGATACTATATTTAGCTGGTTGCGAGAGCAACTTGTGCGAAGGGTGTTTCAGGCTGCATGCTAATCGATATGTGAACTGTATGACATTGGTCGGGAGTTATTTCACACGAAAATTAGTCAATTTGACATGCAGACCAAGTACCTATAGACCGCCACCTTCGTTCTGCAGCTATCGTTGTTTATCGGGCATACACATTAACAGGCAGGATTGGACACCTTGAGATGCAATATCCAATAAGTGGTAGGTGTTTACTGATTGCAACTGCCTCCCAGTAGCTCCACCCTTACCTGGCCTGTGTCCTGTGTCCTCTGGCGCCTCGACTGGTATCACGGTTGGAGGTCTGAGTCACGTGGCACTACAACTTCTCGTTAGCACTTAAAGTTCTTGTTTGCACGCAGAGAAATTCGTATACACTCCACCACGCTCAAGCGCTCTCGCTGGACTGACCTCGCTGTCCCCACACAGAGAAGATCCACAGGCCATTTCTTCCCCCGTTCCCCCTCCCCCCTCTTTAGCGTCAGTTCGTCAAAACAACACCTGCGCCCCCCGTCTCTCTCTCTCTCTCTCTCTCTCTCTCTCTCTCTCTCTCTCTCTCTCTCTCTCTCTCTCTCTCTCTCTCTCTCTCTCTCTCTCTCTACCTACTCCTTCCCTCTCTCCCTCCCTTTCATCCCGAGCCGCCGCGCGCGTTCGCCGCGCGCCGCGTCGTCCCCTAGAGCGATAAGATCTTGGATAAGATGCCTTATCAGTATCCCCTCCTCTTTTATCTCTACCGCTTGTCCCGAGCCGCCACGCTAACTCAGGGTGTCTGCGTTGTTCCCTTACCGCTTATTAGACATCCTATCACTGAGTAAGACATAGGCATTACCACATTTATACGCAAAAACAATCTTTGGTGGGTTTCAGCCTAGCAGGAAAGACTACAACATATTACATACTTCGCCTATCTATATTATCCTTGATCGTAGCCAAGGCCTCTGGCCAAGGCTATGTATCGTAGCAGAAAACAGTCCCCGGTCCCATAAAAAATTCAAATATGATCCCAAATAATTGCAGGTTCTCATTTTATTCTACCCATATAGCGATCACGCAGTATTTTCTTAGTCTTATTGCATTCTTTGTGACGAAATTTATAAGAAAATATTGCAGGAAATAATTCCTGTTTCATTTACTAAAGCTCTTGATCATTTAGACGAAAAACGCATCCTAGCAAAACAACGAAGGGGGAGGGGTAGAGGGACGGAACCTTTATGATAACCAAAAAGGACGGAATCGTTTAATTCATTGAGTTCTTTTTTTCCTTCCGTCCCTCCGTCCTTTTTCTTTAAAAGAATGGCGACGGTAACACCACTGAATGGTGATTGCTGATTTAGCGCGCACAGCACTAGCAATATGTGATGGAGACTGCATTAGCGCACACAACAGCAGCACCAGAAGACTGATTGACGTGACAGTTTATGCAGCGAATGCATTGCGACCTGGAGATTGCATTAGAACAGGCAACATAAAACAAATGACGGAGACTGCAGCGGCGCACACAACAGTAGCACTAGTTTACGTGGAGACTGCAACAGTGCACACAGCAGTAGCACTACTTTACGTGGAGACTGCAACATGGTACGGAGACTGCAACAGTACACACAACAGTAACACCACGGCATGGAGACTGCAATAATACATACACATAACAGTAACTACATGGTACGGAGACTGCAACAGTACCTACACACGACAGGAGCATCATGGCATGGAGACTGCAATAACACACACAACAGCAGCATCATCGTATGGAGACTGCAACAATACATACACACAACAGTTACTCCACGGTCCGGGGCTGCAACAGTACACACAACAGTAACTCCACGGTCTGGGGACCGCAACAGTGCACACAACAGTAACACCACGGAGTGGAGAGAGCATTAGCACACGTATACGTAACGACACCGAACGCTAGAGACCGCAAGAAACCATGGCATCAGAGGCACCACGACTTCGACAACCGTGAGACGGGACTACAACCAAACGTGCATCACTCTCACTATCTGCAATTGCATCAGCTGTTTCTATTGGAAATTTCCTCTTCCCTGTACCACTCGCGGGAACACTGCCAACTCCGTGAAAGCTCGCCAGAGACCGCGGTCACGTGTCCATCGGGGGACCGCAATCCCGCAGAAGCCGAGACACGGCATCACAGCGATGCGATAGTTGGCGCCATCTCACCTCTCGCGCCATTCGGTCTCGCACGGCTCATTTGGTTTACACTTTACGTGGAGAAAGCCGGTCGGTAGTTGATCATTACACCGGGAACTCCCCCCTGGGCTGACCTGACATACACGACCGCCGAGGGATCGGCTCGGATTGGAGAAATCTCGGGTCTTCTCTGGTGTGAGGATTGATAGTGCTGTTTGACAATGTTTTCAATCCACGATCCGCGTCTCCAATCGCCCCACAATGTGGTTCGAAGACAGGCGTGAGCACATTGTTTGTGAGTAATGGAAAAGATGATCAGTTCGAAAGCCAAACGTGAAACGAGTATGGCTTACTAAGGCGAGGCAATGACCCTCCGGCCTTCACTTTTCATCAGCCTGTATTATACCGGAAATGACATTTATCCTTCTTTCTCCCCCCCCCCCCCCTCTGTCTCGTGCAAACAGTTTCGGAGAATCGGCATCCTGCGCCCCATCACGGCGGCGGATATACCTATACGATAGGCAGGCTAGGCGGGTAACATCCATCCCCATCCAGTATTCCTCAGAGCACCGCTTGTCGTTTGGTCAGAGCCGGCACACCGTCTGAGACGTCAGCGATGACGTGTGTTTGTACCAATTGCACTTGATACATACAACCCTTCGATGCAGCTTTTACATATGTACCGCGACCAGTTGAATTACTAGAGTGAAACAGGAAACTTAGGGCAAGTTCAAGCACGCCATTGCCGACCACAGGGCGAATACTGGCGCCGAGAACACTGGTTTGTTTGGAGTTCGACGCGTGAGACATCGGGCCTCACACGTCAGAGAAACTCTTCCAAGGAAAAAAACGAATGTAACAGAGCAAAGCGAGATAAATGGATACATGTCGTGATGCCATAGAACATGCAGACAGTTGCAGTGACTATGTCTAGCTGTCAGTAGTGACGTTTACCAAATGGACCAACCTAGCACAACACAAAGTAAAAGAGAAAAAAAAGACCACAACATGCGTGTCGTACCAATCATATGCGCTGCTTCGGAGGAGCGTTGACTAATCTCTTCTCTTATTTTTACGACAAAAAAAAAAACAGAACATGGCAAATATATTGTAACAAAAAGACACGTTCAATTTAGACATTCATGCCTGGCACGACGAGATCGAAATTCTCAACTTCCCGCTTCTGATAGCGGCATTACTGATGCAATGTAAAATCAATCCCGCACCCCGCCTCAACCACAACGCACTGATGAACTGACCAATGCTCTGATGATAATGAATAATGATGCTTGAACGATTAGAGAATGGACTCGCTTCACCTAATACTACATGACTGCAACGGGAGACCTCACAAAATCTCCTCCTCCACCTCACGTTTTACCCTGATGCGAGGCGACCTACGTGTATCAACAGGCGTCAGGACCAGCCTCGGTAGCCCAAGCTTCACGCCGATGGGCGGAGGTGGCGTCACCTGCCGCTCCCTCCCCGAAAACGACAGCGGATCGCCCTGCGAGCTAGCTCCCGACGACCGTGGCGACATCTGCAGATCGGGTCCCACATCGGGCGTCGGCTTTACGTCCTCTGGTGACGGTGGCTCGGGATCCAGCTCAACTTCCAACATCGTGCCCGCATCCAGCTCAGGTCTGAGGTCGTCGGGTGGCTGCGGCGACGTCTCCATTTCATCTTCCGATAGCATTAGCGGACTCATTTCCAGCAGCGGTTTGACGTCTCTCGGTGACGGCTGTTCCACCCCCGTTTCGCCCGACTGCGGTGGGAGTGAGCTCAGGGAGGGCAGAGGCATGTCCCAGGCGAACTGCAGGAAGTGGTAGCCTTTGTCCCCGCAGAATTTCCTCAGCAGAGCGGCGCGGCCGAGGTCGTGCTCCGACCACTGGTCGGGCTCGCGGTTGTGGCGCACCATGTCCCACTGAGCCGGGGTGAAGAGCCGTCGCAGCCGGCGCCGCTCGGCGTACGCGTCCAGCCGGGCCAGGCCGGCGCTGCGTTGAGCGCGCCGCAGCTCCAGCGCCGACTGCAGCGCCACCCGGTACAGCTCCCAGTGGCGGCGCTGGAGCTGGCGCAGCGCGGCCGGACTCGTCCCCTCTGAGAACAGCGCGGGGTCATCCACATCAGGCAGCGGCGGAGGCGACGGCGGCATCGGATAGCGCGCGTCCACGTCCGGATGGGGGTTGGAGGCGGCGGCTGCCTGCGTGTTTAGACTCTCGCGCACGTGGTGCAGCGCCTTCTCCTCTTCGGAGAGCTTGAGTCGCAACTTTTTCACCTCGGCGGAGAGCGCCTTTCGTTGCTGGTCATCTAGCTCCACGCCAGAGGAGAGGTTCGCCCGACGCTCATCAGCGCTGCCGCCGTCCGACGGCTCTGGCGCCGAGGGAAGCTGTCCGTTAGCGAGGCCTACTACCAGCTGTGGCGTCTTCTGGACGGTGTTAACCCCCTGCGTGTATACAACTTGGCTCCGGGGAGTAAATCGCTTTACAACCACTCGCCTGGGGGCGCCAATATCCGATGCCGTCGCACCGCCGCGGTAACGCACCACGACCGTGCGAGCACCTGGCTGGAGCTGACTGACAGGCACAGAGCCGGGCGCTGGCATATAACGGGACACCGGTCGAGGGGCCAGTTGAGGTAGAGGCTTCTGCTCACGAGCAGCCAGATGCGTCCCGGACCGGTACACCACTATGCGGCGAGTCGGCGGAGCGGACTGCGCCGGCGGCGAGGGGCGCAGCTCACAGTTGGAACCGCTGGACACCCGCACAGAGCTGGGGTCCCGTACAGGAGACCCGGTGTCCGAACCGCCCTCCGGACCGTTCAGCGTCACAGTGTCGGCCTGCGAGCTGGTCTCCGGGTCCCCATGCACCACCTGCACACACGGAAACACCGTCACCATCGAGTCGTCCTCCGGTTCACTCAGAGTCACCTCATCTGCCCCGGCACTGTCTGACTCTGATTGTTCTGAATGTCTGTCCGGGTCATCTAATTTCAGGCGCTTAGCATCCCGCGCAGCGTTCACGTTCATGCCTCCGCTGACGCTCTCATCGGCACTATCTTGCGTGTCCCTGAAAGCCTTCTGCGCGCCGCGATGCAGACGTTTGAGACACCTCTTCGCCGCCGATCTGGCCTGGCGCTGGCGACCCGGCGCCGCTACGTCAGGGCTGCTGTGGTTGCCTCCGTCACCATCATCGTTTCTGCTACGGTTAGCCGCGATCGCTTTGCGCGCCATCGCCAACTGTTCATCAAAGCGACGCTTGCGCGGCCGACCGACAGGTCGACCACGGCCGCGCGGCACACCACGACCCAGGGCGCTCGGCGGGTCGGTCGGGTCAGGTCGGCCGACAGCTCCGTCGGGGCTGCTGCGGCCGCCTCCGGCACTGTCATCGTCCCTGTTTCGGTTAGTCGCGTCCGCGTCGGCCGCTCTGCGCATCATAAACCCCCATTCTGGTCCGAAGCGCTTGCGCGGCCGACCGCGGGGTCGACCACGACCGCGCGGCACGCCTCGGCCGACGGCGCCCGGCGGGTCGCTCGGCGGGTCGGCCAGCGGGTCGGCCGGCGGGTCGCTCGGTGGATCGACAGAAGCCTCGCGTCGCTCCCTGCGAGGGGGAGGGGGCGGGCGCCGTTTGCGGGGCCGGCCAACGCGACCACGGCTGCGAGGGACCTCCTGTCGTTCGGCGCTCGGCAGGTCGGCCGGCTGATCGGGAGTGGCTTCGCGCTGCCTCCGGGGAGGGAACGGGCGCCGGTACTTGCGCGGTCGTCCGACCCGAGACCGGCCGCCGCGCGGATCCGCCGGCGGATGGATCGGAGGCGAATCCACCAGCAGCTTCAGGGGCGATTCAACCCGCGGCTCCGGGAGCGAGTCAACCCGCGGCTCCGGGGGCGAAGCCCCTGGCGGCTTCGGTGCGATGCATACTTCCGGTGACCGCTGTGCCAATGGCTTCCCTTGCAGAATGGCCAGCCTCTTGCTGAGCCTCGACGAGGACAAATCGACTGCTGGGTTGTCACTCAGGCCACAGATGGCTATGCTCTGACGAATCTCGTACTCCTGACAACAGAATATGAGAAGATCAATAAGAGATCCAGGAACAGATGAACTATTGACATAGGTAGTTGCTATAGGAAGTATATGTCTATGTATAATGTATATGCTCTCTGAAGTTTTAAATCATTAACCTGATGAAGTGTAACATCATCAGCACATGCTTGCTAATGCTTAAGCACCATACCAGCACATGGAGCACAGGTAACACATGGAGCTGAGCACATCATGCATGGAGCACATTAATGAAAATATACTGAAACGTAATGTATCTGGCTTAAGAGATGAGCTTACTGGAGAAATTAAACCTCTGAGATATCACTAACAGTGATGGTACATTTTAAAGAATGTTTGTCTGCATGTGGCTAGGTTAATCATTTTCAGCTGGAAGCTAGTGCAGCTAAATTCATCTTAAATACCTATCTATATTTAAGACAAAACATGCATGAAGAATGGCCACTAGCTGAATTGGTATTGTCAGCTTCCCTGAGGTATCAGGAGGGCTTGCTCCTAATTTACCACTGACTCCTAAATGTACTTACCAGCATTGCCTCTTGGACAAGCCGGGCACGTTCAGCAGGATCCATGACGGCACACAAAGGAAGGTGACAGACTCACAGTGTGCTCTTGCTGGACAGTGCCTTTACTCCTTGCCAGTGACACCTCCAAAATGTTAAATCAGTGGGTGGTGGTCACAAAACTGAGAAAAGAGTAAATGGCATTAGTAAGGAGATACCAGGTACATTGGTAACTTATACATACTGTGTGTGGTGGCTCTAAGGACTCTGGTGATTTCCTCCTTTTGCACCATCTAAAAACTGAAGAAATTCACAACACAAAACATGTGTAGATAGAAAACATCCTTCTAAGGTTGAAAAGTGAGACAATGTATTGAAACTTAAAATACTTTTTGCACAAAATATTTATAGGTTTAGACCAACCACACGTTGGGTCAGGTTAACTTATGTTACATCAGCCATCAGGTAAGGTTAGGTCAGGTTAATTATGATTTGCTATTTCTGATGTAGTGTACCCTATTTTGAATTTTCCTAGCATTAAATAATCATATGAACAGTTTTTGGTAGTAGGAAATCAATCATCACAGTTCACACTTTTTTGCATTAAGGAGACATGCTATAACCAGAGAATGGAGATGTTTCTTTCTAACTAAACCAGACCAAACCAAACCAAATCAAAACAAACCTAACCTGGCCCAACCTACAACCCAACCTACAACTTACATGAGCATCTCAATTTCTGGGTATAGCACCCCTCCTTGGTTCAGGACAGGTTGCAAAAACAAGTGCAACACCTGCTTAATTAGGTACTACCCAATTTTCTACATTGATATGTGGTTTGTACTTAGTGACAATATGGTGTGGTTTTTATTCAATTTAGAGCTTAGGGTGCAAAAGGGGGATTTCACCAAGACTCCAATTAAAAACACCAAAAACACAGCCTTGCTTTTTGTAGTTACTTTGTGCATATACAGCAAGGCTTTATATGCACAGTGCATATAAAGCAAGGCCACTTATAGGCAGTAGAAACGATATTAAGTGTAATTTAACATAACTAACATGTCAACCTAACAACTTTATCATTACCACTATCAAGGTATATAAAAACACTACCACTATCATTTACAGCCTTGCATTTACACAGGTTATATGGCCTTGTTACACAGTATATAGGGCCTTAATTTACACAACGAAGTGGCGCCAAAATGATGTGCGCTAGAATTGAATAAAATGTTAATTTAGTTTTGTTTACTATCCTATTATGATTTTGCATGAGAAATGACGTCAACAAACCAGACTTGTTTTGTCATACTTCTGCCATAAACAACAAAACTCTTAAATATTGCACTACGAATATATTCAAATATGATTTTTTAATTAACAAATTCATTATAATTTTGGGCTTCTTATTGATCTATTACTTTTTCACTTACACTAGAGGTAACTTCCTTCAAAATATTGACGTCATCAAAATACAGAACTTTTGTTTTCGGCTGTTCCTTGAAATGCCTTCCCATGAAATTTTTGGCACGGGGCTTGGCACGAGGTGTTGTCAGTGGAGACCTAAGGGGGCGGCGGCATTTTACTTTCGGGTGCCGGAGGAAGAGGATAGGCCCGATAGGCCGTTCTTGGAGGAAAGAGGGTTTTGTGTTTACACGCTTGGGCGCAGAGCGCGCAAACTCCGCGAATCCTGGAGTCTTCTGGGCCTTCTCAGTCTCCTCGCACCTTGACCTGTTACATAAGCAGGCTCTTCCGTTCTGGCACGGCTCGTCTGAGTGCCGGGGTAGCTGGCTGCCTTATTCTTGCATATCTTTTAGCTGGTGATAGTGAACCAAAAGATTTAAACATGAATCTTTCAAAACTTGCTGCTACACAGCTGAAGAGTGTGGCCACAGGGGAGGTTAGTAAGCTTTTATGATTTACAGTTCCTTGTGTAATTGCCTTGTGGTGTTGTGTGGGGTTCTGGGATACCTGAGCGCGCCTATGGGCGACTGGCGCGCCTCTGGTGGACGGGTCGGACATCAGCTGACCTACGGGTCAGCGCGGCGGCGGAGCATCAGTACTACAGTGACCGGTGAGTGGGGCGGACCGTCACACTGGTGGCAGCGATAGTCGCGATGGATGGACATGGGGACAGCCGTGTGGTGTGGGGTGAAGGGGAGGAACTTGATACGTTCATGCGGAAAGTGAAGGCGTACCGGCTGCAAGTGGGAGATGAGAAAAAGGCGATCGGTAAGGCGTTGCTGGGCCTGGGCTCGAGGATCGGCATCATGGACTCGCTGACGGAAGACGACACCAGCTCGGTGGCGTCGCTGGAGGCTGCTCTACGGCGAGAGTTTGGAGCTTCCACCAGGTCGTATCAGACTGCGTTCGGGACCCGCGCCAGACTTCCCGGCGAGACTTACGGTATGTTTCTGGCTGCGTTGCAGTCTCTGTTCGTGAACGCCTTTCCTGATACCAAGGCGGACACTTCTGTCGCCAAGGCTCTGATAAAATCTCGGTTTCTCGACGGTATCAATGCGACTGTGTCTGCTCAGCTGCGGCTACTATGCCCCGACCTGGATGTCGAGAACCTTCCAGCCCGTGCAAAACAGATTGACGAGGCGATGGCGGGCGCAGACGGCAAACCCAAACCTGCCTGTGCTGTGGGGATCATAGGGAACTCTGCTGGCAGTCTGGAGCCGGCGGGTCAGACTGTGTGTGAGCCAGACAGTATCACAAAGTTGAGAACGGAGGTCGCTGAACTGTCCCGTTCCGTTCTGGCAATTCGTGATGTCATAACAGGAGCTGCTGGCGGGTGCAGCAGCCCGGGGGAGGAGCATGTTGCGCGTATTTTTCCATCCCGCGGGCCGGTCGGTCGCGGCCGGGTGGGCGCCGCATGGCGGCGGGGCGGGGCTGCAGGCGCCCCGGGGCCGCGAGCGGGTCGTGGCAGCATGACCCCAGCACGTGACTCGGCGGCCGGCGCCGGCCCGCCGGGTGGGCAGGGACGGAGCCAGGAGCCACATTGGGGGCACGCTGATCCTGGTATGGAGCATGGAGCGATGAGCCGCGTCGTCTGCTGGACTTGTGGAGAAGCTGGGCATATTCAGCGGTTTTGCACACGCGCACCTCTGGCGCGCGGCCGGGGACGGGCCAGCCCGGTCATGTGCTGGCGCTGTCGTGAGTTTGGACATACGCAGCACGACTGTCCGCTGTCTTTAAACTGAAGGCGGCTGGTCCCTCTCTGCTGAGTGCGGGCCAGCCGGGAAATCAATCGCTGCATGTGGGCGGGACAGTAGACAAGATTCCCTGTTCCTGGCTGGTAGACACAGGGGCGGCGGTCACGTGCATTTCAGCCTCGCTACCTGGGATAAATGGTTTGAAAATGAGCCCGACTGCTCGGAAACCGATTGGCGCTAATGGACTGCCTTTAAATTGTATTGGTGCCATCACAGCGAACGTTGGCATTGGCCCGACGCAAGTAAGCCACGTGCCAATTATTGTCGTGAAAGAATTATCCGCGCCTGCAATTCTTGGTATGGACGTTCTCCGCCGATTTCCTAGTTTTTCGGTCGACCTTAACGCACAGTTGTTGCACCTCGGTGGTCACCGTATGCAGTTGGAGGCCAGACACTGCGGTGTCCCTACGCAGCCAGTCTCGGTTCGTTTGCTGCAAGACTGCGTCGTGGAGCCTCACTCTGAGCGAGTCGTGTATGTAGGCGCGGACGATTTTGGCCGTCTTCCCAGGGAGGTACTATTCGATCCTGATCCTGCGAAAGCTACTCGTCACGGGGTAGCATCAGTCCCCTGTTTCGTTCGGTCCGACACGGGGAATAGGATGCCTATTCTGATTCACAATCCTGGCGCAGAATCTGTCAAAATATATGGGAACTCCGTCATGGGCCAGGTTACGGCTGCAAGTGTGGAGGAAGACGCGGAAAGGGACAAGCTCCTGCGTACGGGTCCGGCAGAAGTGGATATTTCGGAAGCGGATATTGGGGATGCTGACCGGAAGAAGTTGCAGAGTCTTTTGAATGAATTCAGAGATGTATTCGCGAATAACGAGGATGAGTTGGGCCGCACACACATGGCAACGTTCAAAATCACCACTACTGACGGGCCGCCGGTGGCGGTGCGCCCGCGCCGGACGCCGTACCACTTACGGGATGAAGTCAGGCGGCAAGTTGCGTCGATGGAGGCACGGGGCATCATTCGGCCGTCTGTTTCGCCGTGGTCAGCGCCAATCCTGATGGTTAGGAAAGCTGACAACTCATATAGGTTTGCGATTGATTATAGAGGTCTGAATGAAAGGACAGTTGAAGAGGTTACGTACCTGCCGACGGTGAAGGAATGCCTGGACAGTTTGTCCGGTTCGACCTTGTTCTCGACGCTCGACCTTAATTCTGCTTACTGGCAGGTACCCGTTGCGCAAGAAGATCGGCATAAAACAGCGTTTTGTACAGAAGATTCAAAATGGGAATTTCTGGTGATGCCTTATGGAGCCAAGGGTGCGCCGAGCTGTTTTACCCGCCTCATGTCCGTCGTGCTGAGGGGCCTTCTCGGTAACGGTGTTACAGCATACATGGATGATGTCGTCGTGGGAGGAAGGACGGTAACCGAACACCTCACTCTGCTACGAGCAGTGCTTGAGAGATTGCGGAAAGCAGGTCTAACTGTGAAGAGTAGAAAAGTGGTGGCTTGCCGTCGCCGCATACGCGTTCTCGGTCACGTTGTTTCTGGCTCTGCAGTACAGCCAGATCCGGAGCGTGTAGAGGCAATCAAGGGCTGGCCAAGTCCAACAACGACAAAACAGGTGCGGCAGTTTTTGGGGATGTGCACCTATTACAATGACTTTGTTCCACAACTGCAACTCCTGGCGGCGCCTCTCCACCAGCTCTCCGGAAAGTCTCGTTTTTATTGGGATGAAGGCAAAGAACTCGCGTTCCAACGGATGAAGCAGGCCCTCTGTGAAGCTACAGCGTTGCAGCTACCAGACCTACAACGGGACTTCGAGGTGAGCACTGATGCAAGTGATACTGGATTAGGGTGTATTCTTTCTCAACGAGATGATGCTGGAGTTGAAAGGCCAATCTGCTTTGCGTCCAAATCGTTTACTGATTGTGAAAGAAATTGGCACATCAGGGATAAGGAGGTCTTCGCTTTGATTTTTGCTGTTCGCAAGTTTCGTCATTATCTTCTTGGGAGGCCGTTTCGCTGGTACACCGATCACTTTGGTTTACAGTGGTTAAAGAACACCAAAGATCCACGAGGCAGGTACGCTAGGTGGATTGAAGAGCTAGAAGAGTTTCAGTTTTCCATTCATTTCCGGAAGGCGGAGGAAAATGCGCCGGCTGACGCGCTGTCTCGGGCTCAAGTGTGTACCACTGCTGAGCTACCGGTTCCCGGTCATGAGCCAGTCGATACTTGCCCAGAGGCGGATGTGCCGTCCCTCGAAGAGCTGCGCAGAGCTCAGCAACAAGATGAGCGGCTCGGCGCCCTGAGCAGCGAACTACGTCTCCGCAGGAGGGACGGACAGATGTCTACACAGTGGCGTGCTGCTGGTTACGAGCCAGTGTTTGACCCGGGTAATGGGTTAGTGTTGGCCAGGAAAGGAAGAAAGCAGTTCGTGATGATTCCTCAGGATCTCATTCCACGGATACTGGAGCTCAAGCATGACAAACTTGGGCACTTCGGTTCAAAGAAAACGAGGCAGAAGGTGATCCAAGCAGGATACATGTGGCAGGGGATGTCGGCTGATGTCAGGAACTACTGTCGTAGCTGTGAGGTGTGCGCCCGATCAAATGACCCACCTCGGCGATTCAGGGCACCACTACAGCTCACTACGCAGGCTACCTCGCCATGGCAACACGTAGCTGTAGATCTCATGGGTCCGTTTGGGCGCTGTCCGACACAGCGTGGTAACCGATTCGTCCTGGTCGTGCTGGACTTGCTTACCAAGAGTGTGGAGCTGGCAGCACTCCCGTGTAAGTCCGCTGAAGCTGTTTCTCAAGCGCTGGTGGAAGTACTTGTGTATCGCCATGGCATTCCAGAGTCATTGCTGACTGACAGAGGGCTAGAATTTGAGAACAGTCACTTCAAGCTTCTGGCCTCGACGTTAGGAATCGACAAGAAAAGAATCAGCAGCTTCCACCCCCAGGCGAATGGGGCGGTAGAGAGAGTCAATCAGACTATCGGGTCCTTATTGCGGAAACGTTCTCAAGAGCGTGCCGTAGACTGGGATACTCAGCTCAATATCGTTCGTTTCCAGTACATGAGTTCACCTCACTCCACAACGGGCAGATCCCCATTCTACCTCCAATATGGACGTGAACCACGCACTCCGGAGCTCATTAGATTGGAGAACAACACGGCTGGTCGTACCACAGAGGCAAGCTGGGCGAAGAATCTCGTGAGAGACCTCAACAGCGCTCATGAGGAAGTAGTTGCCAGGGAGCAACAAATGAAAGAAGCGAGAGTAAGAAAAAGCCGGGGGTCTGGGAATGCTGTCCAATATCAGGTTGGTGACCGTGTATTCATGAAAATTCCACCCAAACCGGGAACTCCTGCAAAGCTTCAGGCCCGTTGGAGTGGTCCATTCATCGTGGTTCAATGTCGCCAGGGTAATACTTACTGGATCAAGCGAGAGGACAACTTCAGGCAACGTTTTCTGAGGCATCATGACCAACTTAAGCCGGTAGAGCCACGGAAAGAGCACCTACAGGCTTCCGATCGCGCCGCAGATGGGGCAAAACTGCAAGGCCGTCGACCTTCACCGGCTGAGGGTCAGTCACAAGGGAAGAGTCAGCACCCAGGTCCAGCAACTGCCCAAAGGGAGCTGATATTCGAATCGGAAGAAGAGGTCGTTGACGATGCTGAAGGTGAAGATGATTGGGAAGATGACAGCGAAGAGGGAGAGCCGGTTCCCCACCCAGCGGATGTACCAGCTCGGGAACTGCGGCGGAGTGCAAGGGAGCGAAAGCCGCCGGACCGGCTGGGGGAGTGGACAGTATAACCTAGCAGACAGATGTGGGGAGTGGGGGGCTGAAGTGGGGGAGGAGTAGTGTGGTGTTGTGTGGGGTTCTGGGATACCTGAGCGCGCCTATGGGCGACTGGCGCGCCTCTGGTGGACGGGTCGGACATCAGCTGACCTACGGGTCAGCGCGGCGGCGGAGCATCAGTACTACAGTGACCGGTGAGTGGGGCGGACCGTCACAGCCTGATTTGAGTTTGTTAGTGTTACAGCAAAAGTGCACGATAAAGGTAGCATTAACATACTATGTTTTGGTAGCCTGAGTTTTTCAATTGATTTTTGATGTTGAAAATACTCAATTGCACTGAACACTGACTAGTGAGTGGTGACTAGGTAATTACTCGTGTACGAATATAATTTTTTCTGACACTGAATTAGCCACTAGGTACCAAGGTATGATTTGTATAGTACCTATCTGGGGCTGGGTACTCTAAATCAAGAGAATGTTTTACACCATCCCTCTTGGATTGTTGTCTAATTGATCACATCTCTGTATGAACTGCTGTAGGTTCAGGCATCAACACCCCTTCCCTTCACCCCCCTCCCTTTGCTGCAGACAGTGACACTGGGCTCACTGTGGGCTGACCAGCCCACTGTGGTGACCTTCCTGCGCCGCTTTGGATGAGTGTTCTGTCGGCTGGGGGCCAAGGACCTGAGTGCCTTGCACCCCCAGCTCAAGGAGAACGGCGTCCGCCTGGTGGGCGTCGGTCTCGAGGAGCTCGGTGTGGAGGAGTTTGTTGAAGGACAGTATTTCTTAGGAGGTAAGTCGGACCTCAGCAGAAGGGGGACTGGAACTGTTTGAGAATTGGGTTTGGGGTGGATGGTTTCACTAGGGTAAAGGGTACTGGAAGAAGCAGAATGTAGCCTTGGATGTTTGCTGAGGGATGGTATATTGGTCTCAGGATGTTTGGCTGGATGGGGAGGGAGACAGGGAGGGTGGGATGGTCCCGGTTTACAGATCTAAAGTTATTTGGTATGAGGGAATTGGAGCCAGGGAAGCCCAACTGAAAGCAAACGTTTTGAGTCTGAAATAGTAATTTTCAGAGCTCCTTGGTTGGTCGCTATCAAAAGCGTTGTTCTATCGGCTATTTTCAGACCTCTTCATTGACCTGAAACAGGAGAGCTACAAGGAGATGAATATGAAGCGCCACAGCTACTTCAGCATCTGGCCCAGCGTGTTCGGGAAGAAGGGACGCGACGCCACCAGCCGGGTAAGAGCTGCTGGTGACGTCAAAGTAGTAACGTCCGTATTGGCGCATGACAAGTAGTTTGGATATTGGACGTGTTCACTGTCGCATGACTCGCACTTTTGTTCGCGCGCTACGTAATTGGCACGTGCTGTAGTACGACTGTCACCGGGGATATCGGTGACTGTGACATGGGGATATCGGTTGCGAATCTTTGATGAAAACCTTTTTCCATCGGGTTTTTACAGTTGTATGCGATGTAACTGCTCGAGCCGTAATATTATCCGCCATGCCGTCCTGACCGGTCGCCGGCGGTCTCTCGCCGGCAGGCCAAGACGATGTCGATCTCCGGAAACCTGAAGGGCGACGGCTTCCTGATGGGCGGCACGATCGTAGTCAACAAGGGCGGCACCGAGACGCTGCTGCAGTTCAAACAGGACGGCCCGGCCGACCACGTCGAGAACAGTGCCATTCTCAAGGTCAGTTGCGTGGTGACATCGGATGATCTGTGAAATGAGCAGTGTGGGGCACGAAAGGTATTATTCGTGGCTTGTGAATGGTCATAACTAAGGGTACGGAAAGGTGCGATGTTAGATCAACCTGTTGAACACGAACGGAAATTTGCATTTGTTTTGTGTGTAAGTAGTCATTTTTTACGGTAAGTGCGAACCTCAAACCATCCTGTTGGCCTACGGGACCATCCTGTTGACCATCCTGTTGTCTGTTTCATCCCTGCGGCACCGCCTGTCCACGCTTGTGTCCGTGTTGGGAGCGTGGCCGGGCGGCCGCCGGTCGGTCTCCCGACCCCTCGGGGGCACGCGCCGGCTCCGTGGCCTGGCGTCATGACTGACCAGCCGGCCGGACGGTGGGTGCTGAGCAATCGCCCCGCCCCGCCAGACCCCGCGGGCAGTGGAGGACGGCGCGTTACAGGGTGGTGGCTCGGTTACAGGTGCTGGGAATCGACTGAGGAGCTGAGCGTCGCGGGCCCCCGTGGTATTCTTATGTAAGCCCCAGCGGCCAGCAGTGAACGCCAGAAAACTTGTATTGATTGCTGGTGCGCTTTCTGAAATGCTCTGCTGACGCTACGCTACTGCAAAAGTATGCCAGATGTGTTAACATTGATGCCAGGCTTGCGGGATGATTTGATTATGCGTTTCTTACGAATGGCTGTGGCCTATCATTATCGCTCACCAGTCAATGCGTTCTGACGCTTCGCCACGTGCGCTGTATGGTTCGATCGTAGCTAGGCCTGATAACGGTATCACACCGTATTACACAATCTTCGGTGTTGTGGTACGAAACTGAACGTCGTACGTGAAGCAGAAGACGCCCAAAGTGTACACAAATTTGCTACATTTTACGTAACTTTTCCATGTGTGGATTACTCATCGGGCTGATCACGCCGCGGCAGATAGTCGAAACTGCGGGCGCTTTTCGCCAGTCACGGCAGCTTTCGCTGACGACCGTGTCCAAAGTCCAGTCTGGTCCCGGCTGCCAACAGTATTGAGCCAGCGCTGTTTGAGCTGGCGTCCACTACTCTGGAGCGTTCGATAGAATCAATAACAGACCGTGTTTGTGAATTCCGCGCAATCACTAGCCATTTCTCCCGGCAACAGTAATGTTTGAGGGCTGGGAGGGTAAAATGAACAGCGTTCTTTCCTAAAAGCTGTCAGAGTGGAATGACCTAAGTAATACTTTTTCTCGTCAGTCGCGCTTGAAAGTTCTTGGTCTTTTCTCTTTATTTTTATTTTTCACTGCCATCAGCGGCATACGAATGTTCCTTTATATTTACCCATAGACTTTGCCCCTACGCTAATCCCGCCTTGCGCTCGACCACACCCCACCCACGTGGCAGCAGTCGTTCTGTCTGTGGAGGTGCCCGTTCCCTGTCCGCGGCAAACAGAGAATAGAGATATTATCGGGCGGCGCAATCAGCTGCTCGGACTGGCTTTAGTGACGTTAGTCCGATAACACACTGGCTGCCGGGGCTGGCTGGGATCATTGGGGAGGGGAGGGAGAAAAGTGACAGATTTGTGTGGGGTAGAGTCTGTTGACAGGAGGGAGCGACATCATTTCAGGTATAGGCTTTGATGAAGTGTGGCAAATACGTTACCCCGTTCGTTATTTTTACTGTATTCGATTCAGTCCCCAAATATGCATTACCATTCGATCCCTCATCATCTCTGCCCAACTCGTCACAACACCAAAATCACCATCTTTTTCCTTTCTGACCCGCGTGCAAATATCATGCACTGTTTTCACCCAGGCGCTTTTACTACATGAAGTGAGCTCTTTCTTTGGTTCTTGTATCGCGTGACTATGTTACGCCTTGCCCGTATTATACGTTTTTGTTTTCAGTTTCCAAAACTTCATGGCCTGAGACAATAAAAAATATTTCAGCGCTCGTCTTCTGAAGGCCGAACGCCAAATGTCTCTGGGTCCCGCCATCGTCGCATAGCAAGGAGTAGCAAGCTACTGCAATTTGCGAACTTTTGTAGTGCTAGAAGAGATAATACTGAGTAGGGTTTCGTCATCAACTCTGTTGTTTGATTCCTCCAGTCTCCTACAGCCTCTGACTCCGGTTCTAACATCCGTTCTGTTTGCGTCAGGCTCTGGGCATCTCCGGCGGAGACGCGGCGTCGCCACCGCCGGCCGCCGACGGCGACAAGCCCAAGGTGACCTGCACGGAGGACGTGTGCACGCGCTCCTAGACTGCCGACAGAGCCGGGAGGTGAGGGGGTGGGGCGCGCGGGCCGGACGGCCGGCCGTCGGCTCCGACGATCGGGCGAATGACGACGCCGACGCAAAGTCCCAGCGGACCGGTCGGTGTCTGAGGTGTGTCTGATCGGAGGGTCACCGGCGGGCGTCTGTCCCGCTCCGCTGCCCCACTTCGCCCCTGCCGTGCATCGGACAGTCTAAAGGGATGTCTGAAGATTCCTGGTCTTTATAATGTTATCCGTATCTCGTCTATGGTTTGCCGACGGGTTGGTTCGACTCGTTCGGCCGCTGGTGAAGTCTCGAAGTCTCCATCGCTGCCTCTGGGAACGCCGCACGGCGCTTTCTATCGAACGAACGACACCGGCGCTGACTCGCCAGAACTGTGTGTGATGTTCTGTGATGTACTCGTGTCCACTGCGGCTCTCTCGCTCTCTCCGCGCGTCCCTCCACTGCTCTGCTCTCTCGCTCGCCGCCCTCCCGGCTTGCTGTCTGTGTGAGATGCGGCAGGGTGGCTTCAAGCGCCACAGACCGGCGCCACGCAAGCGCAGCTAACTGAATTCCACCCCTTCGGGTGCGCAGAAAACTGATATAATCACGTGCACCTTATCAACTGAGTGATAGAGACCAAACACATGTATGCCTTCGCTTTGCCCAGTTGAGTTCGCTTGACTGGGAATGGAGATAAACGTCGAATATTTTGTTATTGTTTAATGATGCGTCAATACAAGTGGGACTGCTTTGGCATGTGTGACTGGAAATCCTTCCTTCGATTTGCCTCCTGTTTGGGACGATGCTGTAGCCAGTGCCAGACATGGTAGCTGTCGCTGTTTTTCCTGTCAATGTTTAGGTAAATTTTGATGATTCGCCGAACACTGGGTGCAGGACTGAGACGAGGGCCTCACTCCTGGACATCATCGGCCGAATGCCGGCCCGTTTTGCCAAGTCATTCGGTCGCCATATTAGGGCTGATGCGGAGTTTGTGGTGATCCCTTTGTTGGCGTCTGTTTGTGGCTTTGCTGAGTCAATGCATTCGTAGATGGAGTTTGTACCTACAATATGGCCACGACCAGTCACATGGCTAGCTCATGCTCTTACGCGAATGTGGTGCAACTTTCTTCGAATTGGTCCCGCCAAATGCGATGGGCCCTTTATTCTGTATTTACTGGCTTCATTTTAGGGTTAAAAGTATTTGACCTTCGTTATAAAGAAAGGCTAAGTCGTAAATTTCTTATGCAAAGTGGACACAGCGACTGTAGGGACATAGTTAACTTCTTCAAAAAGCATCAACAACGTCTAAATAACACATTTGCGACCATACGAGTATTACAGAGTTCGGTCACCTACCCCTCATCTGAAAAAGTGAAGCAACTAATAAGGACACCAGCCTTCCAAATATGGCAATTAGGATTTAGGGACTCTCTAGGCCTAAGTGGCTTTACCGATGCGTCTTTTTAGCGATGAGCGAGCGAATGCAACTGTAGTTTACCGTGAAAATGGACCCAAGGTTGTGGCATTCGGCAGTGGTCAGTGGTAGCAGGTCTCGTACCCGGCCTCGCTGGTGTCCCCCCTTGTAATGCTCGACCGCCAGTCGCCACAGCTTCATTGTCAGTGGGTCCCCTCACTCGGCTTTCCCCACAAGCCCACTGTATGTGTATATGGAGACGTAGTTGCTACAGACTTGTTTTTGTTTTATTGGGCTAGGCCCCTTCGGTCTGACAAGACCATTTCAGAGCCCGTGAAGGATGATAGGAATTAGGGGGAGGCATTGGTCTGGGCAGGCACCCTGGTGAGTAGCAGGGGCTGAGCCCGTCCAAGAGGACAGGCCGACCAGCCCCCAAAGCACTCACCGCACCAGGCTACGGGCGTGCTCTTACGGGCATTGACTCGTAGGATAAAGGTACCCGTCCAGTCCGGAACAGGGAGCTGAGGTGTGGTGGAGGATTTGAATATCCTGAGGATAGAAACGACGGACGGTGTGTGCTCCAGACTATTTATTTATTTGTGTTGGGGGCAATGTGTGTGTGCTCCAGACCGGGCCCATGGCCTTATGCCTATACCACCGGGCCCTCGCTGGTGTCTCCCTCTGTTTGGCACACTGCACAGTGGGGATTTTTCCGATCTTGCGCCTATTAATTCAAAAAATCTTTTTTGGATTTTTTTTGTGTCAGTAGGGCTAAGAAATGTCTGAATTTTTCATATATGGCATTGTTTTATCTGTATGTCCACAGCAAAACTAGAAAAAAAAAATGCGCCCAAAGTTCACACTCATGCGTGATTACTCAATGGGCTCAGCAAGGCCCGAAAGTATAGCTCAATGTCATTGTCCTGTCCTGTTGGTTTTAATCTTGCGAGGTCTTAAAGTTGCATATCATCTGAAAGGCACCTTTATTAGGAATGGAATGGCAAACAGAAAGTATGCCACAACCTTACTAAGGTCACAAAAATGCCCTTTACAAAAAAAAACTTACAGATACCATATTGAAGGAATGGTATTCTAAATAAATGTAGGAAATCAACAATGTTCTCCACACTTTTCCACTCCGAAATATATCCTATCGAATTCGCCACTTTCTCCTGCACAAGACAACGCCTAGTTTGGCTGCCGAAACTTGCCTGAACACGGAATATTCACATTATAGTATCTTAACACCCCACTCGAGGAGCGCTAGGGCAAACAGCATGTTCCGGACATAGGCGAATAATTTTACTTCGTGATTTATATGATGCAGATTTTCTGAGACACATTCATTAGGAATAGGATGACAAGCGTAAATTATACATACCGTAACCTTATTAACCATCGCACTTGTGGGGAGGGGAGGGGGAAGGGGTCGGATAAAACCCCATGGTTTTCCGCAAATTACTCGCGCAAAAAGCAGGCCGATCGCGCCGAAACTTTCGGTGCCTTCGAGATCATCAATTTTACATCTAACCTAAAAATTTAATGACTCTGACCCAACTGACCTTTGACCTGTGGCATATTTCTCGAGACTATGTTTGGCCGGAATCGCGATTCGGCGTATGCCAGCTCACATTATCCGCGGTTTCCAGTCTTTTTTGTGGTTTTATACGTTCAAATATGTGAAATGTTGGTGCTATGCATAATGGTGGGTGTCAAGGTCACGTGAAGGTCAAGTCAAGGTCATTGACCTTTTGATGACCTTGGTCCACTTTTTCGAGTTTTACTTGTTTCTTGGGTAGTTTTTGGTGCTGATTTCGATTTTAGCAGCCATTTGAATATTTACGAAGTAGTTCTGGTGCCTTCGTTCCATGTTACGAAGCTATCAGTAGTAGGTGACACTTCTATGGATGGCCGGCAGGACGCCTAAGAGTTGATCTAACCTGACCTGACCCGACCTGGCCTAAATGCATAAAGACATCGTCTGTGATCAAAACTAACATGAAATTCGTGATCAGCACCCCAAAATACCCCGTAACACCCTAACTTTGCGAAGTTTCAAGAGGTCTCGATTTCCCAACTTTAGTTGGGTCATTAAACTGACTTGGAAAGGCAGCTTATGACCTTGGACTTTGAAATTTTGGATATATTCGGCCTCATTTCGTCATAGGCAGCACGCTTGACTTTTCCGCGAAGCTCTAGCTTGATCAGGGGCCAAACGGCTGAGCGGGGGTCCAATTGAACCCCCTATACTATGTTGATTATGCACATTTACAGGTAAAATTCTCACCAGGACACACCAGCCAACATCTGTGCACAATCTGGCTACAATTCTACCTATGGTTTGCCCTCTACGAATAAATACGTGCTAGATCGGAAAAATCCCCACTGTGCACTGCTGTGCCGGCTGAACATGGCCACTGGCCAGTGGCTCCCCCTACTCCGCACGAGCTCAACAGTCGCCTTTGTTACTCAAGACCTGGCTCACAGTCTGGCTACATCCAGCGCCACCTACTTTTCTTTCCACAGTGATGGAGTCGGGTTTTGACCGGTTTTGCAGGACTGAATAGACTCAACATGTACTCATAGACATTTGAGATATTAATCACGAATCCGGTTGAAATAGTGGATTTCTCTTTTCCGCACTACCTTGCTGAGCATTGCTGATTGTATCCATTTCGGTAGGTACCTATGTGATTTGAATATTGTGGTATTGTGGTAGTATCAATATAATGGAAAAGTTGAGGTGCGGCAGAGCGCACATGCATTGTTCTATCATGTGTGCGTACACTTCCGCGTAAATAGACGCACTGGGCTTCAATGGCGCCGTAGGAAAGCGTACGGCTTGGATGGGTTTGCGTTAGTTAACGTTTTTCTCCACAGACGTCGCCAGCATAGCTACCGGCCAGCCGACCGTTCATGCGCTATGCACTACGGCCTTGCCATGCACTTATATAACAGCGCCGTTTTGATCACGCGCGTGTAACCTTGTTGAGACACGGATGGATCGTCGAGTTCATTTTGGAGGCTGCGTCTGGTAAATGTAAATTGTTGGGTTTCAACTTTCAGGCGTCAACCGGTCACATCAGTTTAGGGTCATGCCGTGGGTTAGACCTTTCGAGGGTTAGTCCGGTAATTTGAAGGTGGTGGCATGAGTGTACCCTCGGTTAACTTTTGTCTTTTAAATGCGAGCACCGTAACTAAGTAGGTAAATGAAGAGTATTCGTGCGTAATGTTGTTAAATTGCATTTATTAACACTTTGGGGTTGGCTGGTCAGAGTCATAATCATGTCCGTCATGGCTGATTACTGTTAACCCGCGCCCGGCTGGGGGTCCTGGATTTCCACGCCCTGCTGGGGGGGGGGGGTGTTTGAACACCCCCCCTTCTAACTCGGATCCTGGGCCACGTAGCGATACGCGGAAGGCGGCGTTCGAAAGAGCGTCAAAAATAATGAGGAAATTACTTCGCTCAATTTTTTGGTCAGGTCAAAGGTCAGGTCACCAGAGGTCATTGAAGGCAAAATTTCGCCGATTTCCAGGTCGAATATCGACAATTTCCAAGAAGCCAACGCATAACTCGGGAACCAATAGAGCTACAGCGCCGCGGAAAAGCGCATTCGATAGCCCTATTAACGCCCTTTCTGAGGAATTCTCTCAGATTTGACCTAACGTCAACGGTTTTGCCTGCAGGGGGCAAAAACTGCAAAAATAGCCGATTTTTTCGGAAACAGTTTTTCTGCAATAACTTTTGACCCAAGCCTTGTATGAGCTTACTTTTACCAGCATCGTGTTCCTCTCGTCAAGACGCATCGAATGAACTATAATTTGACCTTGAAAGGTCAACTTGAAAATTTGACCTCAGGTCAGGTCAGGTCATGACCTGACCGGAAAGGGTCATGTTGCATATCAGTCGATCTGTATCGTCGAGCTGAACACATCTAAGGCGTTTTCATCGCTCTAGCATGCCTCTATCAAAAGTTATTTGCGAAAAACTGTTAGATACCATTCGTGACCTAAGATGACCTCAGGGCATAAATAGGGGTCACGGACACCATTTTCATGTTCAGTGTGTCTAAACCACTTGTAATTCAGTGTTTGGGAGTGTTTATAATGTCTTTCGTCCAAAAGAGGCGCATTTCAATTTTCTCCCATTGACTTATAATGGGGAGGTCGCAAAATTGACCTGACCTTAGGTCATCGATATCAAAATTCTGAGATATACATTTTGTACATGCTATTGCTCTTAGCAATCGCTGAAAGTTTCAAAGTGATCGGTCACTTGGTGTAGCTATGACATACATTGAAACTTTTTATGAGGTGAGGTCACTTCAAGTGACCTG